TTATGTTATTTCTTAGTTATATATATATATATATATATATATATATATATATTTATTTATTTATTTATTTATTTATTTATCTTTTATTTTTAATCCTAATCCTAGACAACGAGCTTCGACAAGCTGTAAATCTCAATATGACCGTCCAATGGTTCTAAACTTCTACCACTAGTATCTTTGCAAGCCTTCCAAATATTCAAGAAGTTTCAATCCAATCTAACTTACAGGTTGCAAGAAAATGCGATTAATCCACACTGATGTATCTTGACCGCCGCCTAAAAGTCCTTCACTTACCACGCCAAAAGTCACCTTATTCCAACCGATAGATCTCCAGATATTACAAAAATCCTAAACAACCCCAATCTGCTAACTTCCGATACCTTTTTACACTAATGGTCAAATATCTTCTATCTGTTCCGTCAAATAAACATAACTTTTTTGCATGCACTTGGCATACTCAATCCTCTAGATACCTCTAATTTTCAACTGCAAAAGTTTCTCTGATTTCACATAACACTCAAGAGTTTCAGCCTTAACTTTAATGCAAAAATTCAATTCACCAATACAAACACTGACTTTCAGCAACGATTGCAAAAAGTCCTCCCAAATCCTATGAATCCAATTCTACACCTTTCGAAGGAGCTTGAAGCTAGCTCTCCGATCTCAAAATCTTGATCTCTGAATGCCTCTTTTCTTATCCTCTCCTCCCTTTTAACTCTGTGTGGTCCCCTTTTCTCCCGCCCTGGACTCTGAATTAAAACAGTCAACAACGCTTCTCCAAAATTCTTGTCTCTAAGAGGATCTTTCTACGGAAAAGACGTTTTCTCCAAAACGGCATAGAGAACGGAATAGCTTGAAATGGAATCGAAGCCTCCGTATTCAGGACCTCATTGGATTGCCCAACCAAGTCATGTCTCATACTGAGTAAGAGGCCCATACCAGGACCTGGATTGGATCTCCCCATAATTGGGTCAAATTGGCCCTTCACATCAGACTCACCCGAATATTGAATTGGTCATTTTTTCTTTTCTTAACTTTTGATAAGAATGGCTCAGACTCATTCCACCCAATTTATCAAAGAAACTTGAGGACCTTGATTTATTTCCTCAATTTTTCCTTGGCTTTGGACTTGCTGATCTCATTTATTGAAATTGAATGGAGCATTATATTGCTGATAAGTATGCCTCATCTGCTTGTAATTCCTACACATTAGTGCGTAATCATTACTAGCTTTAGGATTGGAACATTCACTGGCATAATGACCAATCTCATCTGCAATGGAAATGACAAAGTGATCTTTCTGCACCACCATCATGCATATTGGGTGTCCCCACCGATATATACCTACTAGGCTTGTTCCATGTAGTGTTGGAAAAGAATCCTGGTTGTCCCATTAATACGGAGGGTACTTGGTTTGATGACGTCGATGGGATGACATTAACTGACCCTGAATATTGGTACTAGAATTGGCCACTATTTCTAACATCTAAGATGACTAAATATTAATAATAACTTTTTCATTTATATTTTTACCATATAGTCGTATTACAATACGACAGCACTAAAATAAATTGGAATATCTTGTCCATTGGCGTAGATATGATATTAGTGAACGCACATCGGAGCCAATAAAAAATCTTGCAAATGGAGCAAAGACAATGGAGGCTTTCATCGATGACATCCATCAAAATCAAAATGAAAACCTTCCTTATAAAAGAAATAAGATCTAAGCAAGAGAACATTCTACTTTCAATCTTTGTTTGTAGCTTCTTTGTAGTTGTGACGTTGAGGAGATGGAGAACCAACAATCAGTGGATTCGACCCAAGAGCCTTCATTTGCTGACCTGTCGGATGAGACACTACGATTATCACAATCTTCAAGATGATGCAATTGAGATGAAGATCTTCAAGAACGACATATTTTTCCTAGAATAGATGGCAAGATACAATGCGTTTGGTATCACGACCTTGGAAGGAACTCTCGATGTTTGGTGATTTTACTAAAGGTAGGAACAATTCTTGATGGTGTTCCAAATGTTTTATTCGAAGGAAGTTATGAAGGCCTCAAAAACGACCAAATAATTGGATGGTCTTCCCACCCTAGTATGGGATACTATCGATGGTTGAGAGGCCCTATCAATGATCTTTGACGAGAACAAAGATCAGAGTATGTGGCAAATATAATTTTTCGCATCATAGATTTCCTCAACATATGATGACCGCTCCTCATAGAACTCGTCCCTAGAAGGAGAGGTAATGTCACGGACATATGCATGTAAGCCATTAATTACATGTATAAATAGGTAGAAGTAAATAAAAGTAGATAAAAGTAAGTTGATTCTATAATATTTGTTATAAAAGCTCCTTAGAAGCTTGATAGACGTTGCTTTGACTTTATAGGTGTCTTTAATTGACTTTTTGGATTAGAAACGTGGTCAACAAGTTGGCCATGTGCCACACATGTTATTAGCTTGAAGACTAAGCTAATTATGTGGTCCAAATGTAGAAAAACTTGTCTTGAATGTCAAGGCATGTGTCCTACAAAGTCAACACATATTAGAGGTTTCATAGAACATCGCCATGTAGCTCTTAGTTAGATAGTATGTATAGAAACAAGAGTGAAGCCTTCTTCACTCTTGTCAACTCCTTTCTTGCTTTCAGTCTAGTTTCAAGGGTCTCTAGTTTTCTTGGCTTTTGGCAATAGCCATTCCAGTTTCTTTCTTAATATACATATCAAGTTATTTCTATTTTGTCATCTTTCTTTGAAAGAAGTCTCACTTGTTTATTTGTTTTTATCATGTTCTTATCCTTGAAAAATATTGTACAATATTCAAGACAAATTATTTCAACAAAGTTTTCAAAGCTTTACAACTAACAAAGATTATTATTTAGAATATTGGGACTAAGAGATCATCAATTTTAACTCAAGCAAGCTTAAATGAGTATAAATTCTTATAAAAAACTCACTTCTATTCAAGCCATGTCCAAGACTATATTGTGTAGAATTAAATACCTCATTTAAGAAAACAAACACCAACCTTACAAATCTATTGTCAAAATGCTTGTTATTCTCTCTCTTATAGAAAATCTAGCAAATTCTTCAAATAAGACTTGGTCTTGATGATATAATTTATATTTTATAAATTCCGATTAAGTTGTATAGAATTAAATGTGTCATTTAAGACAAAAAAATATAATTAATATTTTCTCATGTTTAAGTAGGCATCTGCATTGAAGATAGGATAGGAAGAAATCCATTAGTTGTAGAAGTAAAAAGCCACATAACAACAACATTAGTAGCACCTCAGTATAAGCAAGATTGTGTCCTTTGGTCTAATCAATATTGTCATCTTTAGTTAGTGTTATCTTTTTAGTTTTATTAATGTCTTATGAATCATCATATTAAGTTAAGTTTTGATGAAAACAATAATGATTAAAAAATTCAACCAATCAAAAGACCAATTTGTTTCTCTAATATATTTCATTATATTATACCACCTCCCTAGTATGTTTTATAATAGAGACATAATTCCATAAAAATAAAAATAGTATTCTAAGTAAAATTTATTAATTTAATAAAAAAATAATAATATATACTACTAATACTTGATATCTAAAAAATTACTAAAAAAATTTAAGATTTTTATTTAAAACAAAGCTTTATTAAATAATAAGATTTTTTTGAGGCTATAGATATATATATATATATATATATATATATATAAGTCCTTTAATAAGAAGTCATTTGAAAATATTTTTGAAATTATTATATTTTTTAATTTTTTATTGAAAATATTTTTATTTCTATATAATTTTAAAAAAATATTAAATACATTAAAAAGATTAACAAAAAAAATTATTAGAACTAAAACAAAATTAAAAAATATCTAAAATTAAAATCTAAAGATAAAAATTATTTTAATTAGCTACAATTAAAATTTAATTCTATCACATGAATAAGATTGTAATAAACATAAGATTTAAAAGTTTATAAAAAAAAAAGTTTAATTTAGAAAACATCAAATTCAAACAACTTCTATATATTTCTTATTTACACTTACAAATTTTATTTTATATCCTTCAACTTTAATTTTATAGTATAACACTTAAAATTTAGACTTTATATTTTATTGATTCATTGAACTTTAGTAGTTAATATTACAAGGTCTAAGTTGTTAAGAAATAATTTTTTATCATATTACATAGTCTTTATACAAATGTTGTTGGTAATTTGGATAGTTTATATTGATTTATATGTATTGAATCCCTCAACAATTTTAAATTTTAACAGAAATAATTATTATTCAATTGAAATGTATGTGTATATGTATATATATACATTGCAATGACAGTGATGTGTGAATTTCGCAACAAAAAATAAACAACGTTGTCTGTATAAAACCAGTAGAAATTATAATGTTACTTCAAAACAACCTCAAACAAATACAACTGAGAATATTGGTTTACAATCATTACACAATTATCAACAAAAAATTCAATCATCAGCACAAATTACCATTCAAATTCAACAATCAATGTTAATACAAAGAAACATTGGTCACAAAAACATCAACAAGATGTGTACAAGAAAGCACTTGTTACATGATCTATTCACATAGATGAGCAATGTCGACGCAAGTAAAAACTTTGAAGTCTTACCCAACATGTGAACTTTGTTGGAGTTGAGATCGGATCAATAGACTTCAATTAATTGATGAATCACCTAAATTAACGACAATTCTCTGTGGCTTATCACCATCGTAGTGACATCAATTTCATATCAAAAGCTCACATTTATTTCCCATGGATATGCAATGCTTGTTGAGAAGCAGTGTGTTGCTTTTAATTCCCAATTCCATCTTGCAATATGCATGAATATGCAAGTCACTTTGTACTACATCTCTCTAGATTTGTGTTCTTTCACTTACTAGTTTGTGGTGTGATGCTTCGGTACACATTCAAGATCTAACACGATGCGGTTGAGATCGTTGATCTTGTGTTCATTTTGAGCTTTCTTAATTGTTGGGTATCTTGTTGCTGATCTCAAATGGGTTTTTTGTGTGAAAAGCATGGCTGTGGTGATGTGAGCAATCAACATGAGTTCGCATGTGTAGCGACGAGCACAGCCTTTCTGGTTGGTTGTAGCAATTTCGTGTTGAATTGGGCGTGGGTGAAATTTCTGGGGCATATTTCTGCGGACTGACACCTGCATTGCAAACTTGATAGAGCTTTTGTGATACTTGTGAGGTCTTCAAAACTTTTAAAGATAGAAAGTCTTGGAGGAGCAGAATCTTGCCGTTGTTAATTTTTTTTTGTAGGAACCTGTTGCCAAGATGTTCTTCTCAAAGTGAAAGAATGGTTGAGGGTGCACAAACCTGTCTCTGATGTTCTCTGAGCGCTCCATTGTAAATCTCACCATTGTTGTTGGCGAAGGTTTCAGCAGTTCTTTTGTTGTATTAAAAGTCCCTGTAAGTTTAAGTCTATTTCTTACCCTCGGACTGTGAATGCGGACACATGGGCTGTAAGAAGTTTTCAGGATGAGAAGAAGATGATCATGCCGTGGAGCATCCCACTCCTCGCAATGGAATCCAGGTTCAGGGTTAAGACAGCTCTGCTCCTTTTCGCAAGCCTTGGGACAGGCATTTTTCTTGGTGCGGTGGGTTGCTTACATTATGACATTATGTCACTGCATCATGCGATTTTCAGCAGCTACTCTGGTGATGGCCGTTCAACTTGGAATGCTGAAATGAGAAAGCAGCAGGAGGATATCATCAGCCAGATTCCCAGCAATTCACTATCGAAAGAAAACCTACAACACGGATTGTCTGATGAAGAACTCCTATGGCAGGCTTCGGTGGTTCACCGTCGGAGAAGCATACCTGCGAAGGAGCGCAGGATACCGAAAGTTGCCTTCATGTTTCTAACAAGAGGTCCTTTACCATTGGCACCTTTGTGGGAGTATTTTTTCGCAACATACGAAGAGTTTTATTCTGTTTATGTCCATGCCGACCCTTCCTACACTCCGACCACGTCACCCTTTTCAGTGTTCCACCTCCGAAACATTCCCAGTAAGGTTTGATCTCTGAGCTCTTGACTTCCATATCGAACTAAAATTAGGCATGCAAAATTTGCGAAAAGCCATGTTCAATTCTTGTGAAACTTAAGATCATGACTGAGGGTTTTGGTCGCTGCATACATGTAAAAGAATAAGGAAAAAAAAAGGATCATTAAATCTCTCTTAAAAATCATTTAAAAAAAAAAAAAAAAAAAAAAAAAAAAATCGAAGAGTATCGAAGACATCTGAACCATCAAAATAGTCGATGGCCAAATTTGTCAGTCCCAAATAAGCTGTTCTGAAAACTGAAGTCTGTGACTGAACTGTGTATAGAAGACAACTGACGATTATGTAATGTGATCAAAAGCTGCCCGAGATGGCAAACTTTCTAATCCGCCAAATCTAACAGCACCCAATACTTTGTTCACTACACAGCGTGCAAAATGGGGTGATGTGTCCATCTGCGACGCTGAGCGCCGCCTGCTGGCAAATGCCCTTCTTGACCCTGCCAATGAGCGATTCGTTCTCTTGTCTGAAAGTTGCATTCCGTTGTATAATTTCAGCTACATCTACGCCGCGTTCACCAGCACTTTTTACAGCTATGTGCAAGCCTTCGACGATCCGGGCGTGTATGGTCGAGGACGATACCACCCACGCATGGCACCCGAAGTGACGCTTGAGCAGTGGAGGAAAGGTTCCCAGTGGTTTGAAGTCACGAGAGAGTTAGCTGTGGAGATTGTCTCAGACACGAAATATTACCCCAAGTTCAAGCACTTCTGTGTATCGGGTTGTTATGTCGACGAGCACTACATACAGACCATGATGTCTCTGGAGCATGGCGCCTTGCTGATGAACCGAACCATCACCCACACGGAATGGGTCTATGGTAGAGCTCATCCCACCTTGTTTTACAACAGAATGGTCACAGAGGAGCTTCTCTCTCAGATCCGACCCTACTTCTTCTTCTCCCGGAAGTATTCTCCCTCGGCGTTGAAGCCGTTGCTGAAGCTTGCACCACGGGTGATGTTCATCTCCACTTCAAGCTAACTCTCAAGCTGGAGAATTGATTTCATGTTTGACTGGTTCTGATTCATACTCTGCAGATCGCAACTATTTTTGCCAAATCTAATTGACTGTTGTGTCAACCATCTGTTGTCTGGAATAGAGTGCATGGCCTGCAGCATCTCATGCATGGCTTTTGGGTTTTAGTAGGTTGCATGGCAGCTTGTCAACGCTAATAGGTAGAAAAATTATATAGACTATACGAGTTTTGGTAAATAGGTTTGAATAGAAACTGATGTACCCTAAAATTGTCCTGGTACGGTTTACAATGACTTGTTACATTTGATCATGTTGGCCGATTGGCTTTCTATATTCTTTGATTAATAAAGCATAGAAATAAATAAATAAATAAAAACTGAACTAAGCAAAACAAAACAAAACAATCCAGAGAAAAAAAGAAAAAAGATAGCAATATATATTCACTTTCTAAATTCAAACTTGAGATATAACTCCAGTTCTATTAAAAAATCATGACAACAGTTCTGGTTATTAAATAGACGTGTTATCTTTTCATTAATAGACGCCTTCCATTCCTAGGTGAATTACGTTGTTCCAATAAATAATTCAGCGTTTAAGATTTTTGTGAAGACAGTTCATTAAAAGATTGTGAAGATTACATGATCAATAAGGATAACTTCAGACACACGCAAGAGCGTTATGGAAAAGAAACAACAATGGTTGTAAGAAGCAAAATTACTCTATCTTGACTGATACGATAAATAGAACGCTATTACGACATCAACCATACTTCCTCAAAAATCTGTGAAAGAAAAAACTCACTTAATTGATAACAAAGTAATTTCAATTCGTGGGTGAGCCTCAAAATAGGGTTGAAAGATTGCAACACGCTTTCTACCTTTATCCGAAAATATAATTGCCTTGAGATTATAATTGTCTAGGAGCAAGGCCAGGTAGAGACCCGCTGTTTCTAACCCTCAACAGATCCTTAAAAATCTTGATAATATCTAATACGGCAGATTGATCCAGCTGACAAAGTGCTCCACACTACTAACCAATTCGTTAGCTTGTGGTTATCTGGAAGCGTGGGAGTTAGAAGGGGCCAGTAACAAGCTTCTCCAAACCTGTGCTAACTCTGGAGAGGCTCTGACAAACTATACATAAACGCTCTCTGAATGGATTCGCCATTCGAGAGAGCATCCCTTCTCTAGCGAGAGCGAACTTCGGGTGCAAATTATGCAACGACCATTCAACTGATCGGAAACTTGCAGGTGCCATGGCCTGTGATCACAAGGTTACAGAAGTTGTTTCAGTTGAAGGCCACCATTCACTGACAAAATTGCAATGAAGCGGGAAAAATTTAAATAGAGTAGTAACAGCCTGTTCAGCGGACCGGAGTCCTCGTCTTTACCGGTCACATGTCCTCAATTCTCATAACTCTCGCTACTGTAAGTGCCTCGCACCCTCTACTTGCGCAAAATTTTACCAGAGATGGCAACTCGGGCACACCAGGATGTAAACCACGATTTGATTAACACATCCTACAGGACGGCATGATACCTGTTCTAAGGATCTCACTGCTAAGCCTCTCCTGTCTATTTAGACTGTGAAAAGAAGAAAAAAGGAGATACATTTCAAAACTTGTCAAAACTAGGAGGTTGGTAAATCTTTCAAGATGGGACCATCAAGAGGATGGAGATAATGCAGAGGACAAGGGCTTGGTTAGAAGCTGAGTAAGCAAGTCCACTCTCCCCCCTGCGGCTCTCAAAAACAACCTGAGGCCACGGCCACGTTATCACGAAGTTACGGGAGGACTGGGCTACCAACTTACTTGGATCAGTGGTGGAAAGCATGGCAGCACCACCAAAGTTGCAGGAGCCTCCCGCAGCTTTCGTCTTCTGGTAGTAGCTGTTGAAAGCGTATGAAGAGTGATCGTGGATGGTATTGGGGTTGAAGCAGGAGCCTCCCGCCTGAAGTGGTTGGCAATCGGCACCCCCTGCGCCGCAAGCAAAGTCCAGAGCCCCCTGCAGCATCTCTTGTCCAATCCCAGACTTCGCAACACACCAGGTTCCACTTGTAGAAGGGACAAGTCCAGGGGAGAATGTTGGAGGGGGGGCGCTTGTGAAGACTGGATTGTCGGACAGAGGGCTGTACTGGCCATCAGAGAGCATCCCTGTCATGTCGATACTGTAGACGTTCGTTCCATTCGGATAGAGCAAGCCCCAGTGCTTTTCTGTACCCTGTCCCGTCTTCTGATCTTCATTAAAAAGTGCAAAAATAAATGTGGGTATGTAGACACCGGGACGCATGGGAGTGCCCACATTCGTGGGCGATACCATTTTCCTTACGAGACGCCGGTTGTAAGTGGCAGCGTTGGCGAGGTTGCACCCCGCTTGGTTGGCGTCACCGGCAGTAGGCCAGCCCGTCTCGCTGATCGCCAGCCTCACCTGCCCATACCCAACTTTCTGAAGAGCAGCATTAACAGCATCGAGTTGGCCATCCAACATGTTGTAGTACGCCTTACCATTGTCGACGACGCCTGGGGTTGAAGCTCCGAAGAGAGCGTAATTCAGGGGTATATTGTTGGGATCGCTTGCCCAGGCGAAGTAGGGATACACGTTGACGTAAAAATGCGACTGTGAGTTGTAGAGAAACTTCAGCAGTGGCTGTAAATATGGTCCCACAAGCTCTTCTCTGAAAGAACCAGCTGAAGGGGGGTAGGAAGAAGCCAAGACATCCAGGGCCACTGCAGAAGAAAGCTTGATGCGGCTGGTGAGATTGTCCTTCGCGAGGCTTGTGTGGACGTTGTTGATTGCCGTCATGAGCTTGTCCCACGTGGGCTTCATCGAAGGGTACGAGAAGAGCTCGTTCCCGACGACGATGGACACTATATTTGTGGCAGGGTAGTAAGCCAGGACATTTTTCTTCACCCACTGATCTGCAGCCCACTGGCTCTGCGCAACGCCAGGGATGTCTTCATTTGGTAGTGCGCTTACAACTTCTAGGCCCGTGTTGGCGAGTGCACTAAGGACTGTGGCATCGGAGTTGAAAATTTTCACCCGACCTATTTTCAAGTCCATAATTCGCTGGATGGCTTCGTCGGGCGAGGGGAGGTTGTCCGCGATGCGACCGTAGTTAATGCCCATAACATGCTTCTCCATCCTGTACGCAGATCCTGCAAGTCCCAAGCCAGACAGATCGGGGAGAACAGCGTAAGTATCAAAGCTTCGCAAATATTCCTAGGCCATGGCTGACGAGTATATCTACAAAACGTACAGAACTTCACCCACATTGTCGACCAGAAGGTAGATTGCGTGCACACATGACGTTGGCAGGTACCAACGAGCAATCAAAGAAAACCATAAGGTAATCTTAACTCTTACAATCGTAAACCCCAGACATTGAGGACTCCACACCACCTGGTACAGTCTTAATTATCTATGCAAAGCAACTAGATTTTATGCGAAAGTAAAGGCAACCTGCATTTCCGCTTCGACCTGGCGTCTGGCACGATATAAGTGCCGGGCATAGCAGCAGCGGCAGCAACACAACTATGCGTCTGAGGAATTCCCACCTCCAGAAACCACCCTGCCCTCTCCCAGAAGCTCCCATCTCGCCCTGAAGGCAGGGAAAGGCACCACGACGCCGACAGCCAACTCGCAAGCCTTGACAACGTAGCCAACTATCTCAGGCCCTTACACTCTACACCAGGAGATCAGAAAAACCACATAACTACATGCAGGAGTTAGAAACGTAAACGTGTATATAGCAACTCGATGGAACTAAAAAGCTCCAAACACGTCTCCAAAATAAGCGAAACGTAAAAGGGAAGAGGACCTAGCATGAGCTGATCACGGCTTGATTATTAGCCACCACCGGGACAGCACTCGGTGCGACTACAGAGAGCTCTGCACTCCCCGAAGCAGCAAGTGGGTTCGCTGCAACTGCAGCTCATCAGCTCATGAACCATGTACTGGATCACTGAGTAAACCCAGCTGCGTCCGACTTACATACTACTGATCCACCAACGGCGCCACGCCATGGGAGCACTAGAGTACGACGGCCACGGCAGGGGTGAAATTTAAGACGCGCGCATGGCATTGCTGTTTCTAGACCCGTAGGCATGGAAATGTGTGCACTGCACTCGCAAGGATGGTAGACCAGCACTTCTGGAAGAGGTAAATAGCAAAATATATATATATATATAATAAATAAAAAGATAACTAAACCAACCCAGTGCGCTGCTAATTGAATTCCTCTGCCGCAGGAGGACGACAACGGCAGGAAAGAGGATTCACGAACAAGGGGAATCAGTAATGAAGAGGATTCACGCGCTTTATTAATCTTGACAGACATGCATTGACGGTGTAGGATCCACGCAGCTCTTGTCCCACTGCGGCCTTGTCAGGCCACCAGTTGCCCAGCATCAGGCTCTTGCAGTTCTCTCTCTCTCTCTCTCTCTCTCTCTCCCTTCATCATCCACTGTCCTCGATCTGTGACTGTTGTTTCTAACCTGGTTGTGCATCCCCAAAACACACAAATCCACAGGAACTGCACCAGTTCTAAGTGCAGGAGATTTGCAAGAGGGTGGAAAGATTAATTGTGTGGAGCTAGAGCGCGGCATTGTGGGTTATGGGTCCAGATTGCCAGTTGTTGTTGGTGTTGTTGTTGATATTGTGTTTGAATGCTGAATTCTGCTCCCATTCATTCTCACCTGACCAGCCATGCAGCAGCAGCGTCGCTCCTGCAAGTCGCGATTCTCATGGTCGCCATTTTTTAGGGTTTCCTGAAGCTCCGACCGCAAAGCACCCGAGGATGAACGTGAGATGGGTTTCAGGTTATGAGGGAATTATAATTTTGTTTTGTTTGTTTTATTTTATTTTTATTTTCCTGCCCCACTTTCGGTGTTGAATGCTATTGAACACACTGCATCCGGGTCATTATATTGGGATCCCCATTATAATTGATTAGTAAGACAAGTGTGGCTGTTGTTGTTGTTATGATTTGTATCAGTGATGTATGCGTACATGAATGTGTGGATGAATCTGGGTATTGTGTAGATGGATGTGGTTATTTTGCAGGGTTTTGTTGAAGCTCGAATAATGTGGTGCTCGAATAATGTGGTGTTTGTGTGTGCGTGTGTGGTGAGAAGCATTATCCTCTTCTTTGTTGCACAATGTACTCTTTGAGTATTGTTTGAGGGTTGTATTAAAAGATTAGTACATTGGTAACTCTAGTTTAAATGTACCAAAAGATGCTAGATGCAATGAAAAAAGCTTGTGTTTGCTTATGCAACAAAATTCTCAAATTTGGAAAAAATTCCATTCTAAGATACTAAAGAAATAATTTGGAAATCATACAAATAAAGTCTTTCATATTTTGTGTGTGCGTGCTTATATATATATATATATATATACTTTTTTGATTGAATTTTAATAAACTGAAGTTCAAAATAACTACTATGTGCAAAATTAGCGGACTTAAAATATACATATGTAATCAACAACCAAATTATTATAGAACATAAACACAAAAATTTGTTATTTTGAAACTATCAGTTTAATCTATAATAAGTGCGTTTATCTTAACTTCAATAATACAAATAATTTGAAACTGATTAATCCAAGACTCATTTGAGCCCACGATTAAATTTACTGTGGCTTTATTTTATATTTTCAAACACTTAAAAACTCGTCATTTATACCAGAAATTATCATTAATTTGTTGCAAGTATTAGTGTGTATTCAATAGCAACAATATATTTCCCATAAAATGTTATTGAGATTAAAAATCCACCATGTTAAAAATATATTGATAATTCAAACTCAAATGTTGAATGTAAACTAAACATGAAATATATGTTTCAATTCTGGTCAGTATTTTAAATAACATATTTTAAAGTTGTCCTAAATTCAGAGTATGTTAACTCACATAGTCACCGTAGCAAAAATAGTTTCTCATTAAAATGAAAAAATGAATGTATTTTTAATTGAAAATTTCTATCATGTAATTATAAATAAATAAATAAATAAATACTACAAAATTTTATTTATTTGTACGACTTTTATAATCTAATTTATCCTAATTTCATCATATTATAATTTTTCATTCAAACCATTTATGACATTCATATATTAATATAGTGTTATGCAACTTATACAGGTAGAAAAAATGTTTAAAGTTTAGAGATTTGTTATTCTTCAAATAAAACCATTCTTACATTTTTATATTTTTTATATCCAATTTTATATATTCTATATTTTATATCCAATCCTTTTTGAAGCAATTATATATATATATATATATATATATATATATATATGTATAAGTTTATATATTTATAGACATAAGTTCATTGCATTTTGGGTAAATCAACTAAGTATCATTTCAATGTCATTTTTATTACTACTTTTATAATATTGTATGTATATAAAATTGAATTGTCTCCACTGGAATCACAATGTTGCCTTTATTGGCTACACATGGTTTGAATATAATTCTGGCAAACTTGAAGTTATAATAAAAATATTTGTCATAACCGCCAAATTTTGAATATATAAATACAAAGTATGATTTTAGTATACTAAAGTGCTTTATATGCATGCTAAGCTTCAACATATATTTTTGGATAAACACTCATCTCTAAAATTTAGAGCATAGGTTTATAATCAATGTTCATTTGTAATTGACAACACAAAAACTGATATTTCAACTTATTCCAACTTGAAACCTATTAACCTTTTTTTGTTAATTTTTAATTAATAGAGTTATATTCAAGGACTTCTTGAGGTCAACCTGTTCATAAGTTCAAAGGTATTTTTTTTTTTTTTTCAAAATATATAAAAAATTGAAAGGAACAAGAAAAGTAAAACAAAACAATATCAAACACAAAATCCACCAATTCTTTATTTAAATACCTGTGAAGTATCTGTAATGTACAATGTTGGAGAGACCTTCCACTGCTGCATTAAAGAACATTTGCAAATTTGACAGATAAAAAAATAAAACATACTTTTTGGTCATTTATGAAACGTACCGAGAAAGATGAATGAAAATAATTGTACCCACTATTCTTTTTCATGTATATTTATTTGCAGACATTCTCCAAATTTCATTAGAAGCCTTACAAGTTGCATTTTCAAGTATTGATTTTTCTAATATTTCTTTCAATATCATCATACACACACACACACACAATGTATTCATTAAAATGACTAATTGAGAACTTTACAGGTATGGCAATGGCCAGCATGAATGTAATGCCAATTTCTAGGTTTGGTGGAGGCTAGGGTTAGTACTGGTTAGGTTTGGTAGGGTTTACATACATACATACATACACATATATATATAGAATCCTTATTCTCTCATTAGACTCATTCGTTTTCTTCCTCACACAAACTTATTTTGTACACATCGTTGCTTGGTCTTCTTCCAACACTCAAAAATACAAAAAAAAGTATTTTTATTTGTATTATATATATATATATATATATATATATATATATTTTAAATGTGAAAACGAAAAAGAAGAAGGAAAAGAAGTGAAACCAAGATTAGAGTGGAATTTATAGTGCCCACCCACAAGTTAGTGATTGTGAATCTATGATTATTCTTTAAGGAATAAATATCATGATTTTGGTGTATGATTTGTAAGTATAAATTGACATTCATGGCATAAAAAGTTTTAATGAAAAAAAAACCATATTATCATGCTATACATTCAATAAAGAATAAGAAAGATTTGCCAGTAAAAGTTTTAGAGAAAAATATTATCTTTCATTTTGACATGTACTGTGAATAAAATTATTGACCGTGACCTTTTAAAATAAAGCGTAGAAACGTTTGGGTTTTTTACCTATCTATTGCTTTTTATCAAGAAGTAGCTCAACTCTTCGATGAATATTTTTTAATTCAAAGAAAACAACAAACAAGTGAACTCGTTTACAATCTTTTGCAATATTGTGGTTTTCTGATAATTTTATATATTTTTTGAAACCCGGTTACAGACGCACTGGCACATTGCATCATATATGTATATGACACATGAAATTTGAGGGTGTATATTGCTACAGCCGCAGCTCAGGTTAAATAGAAAATTTTGTTACTAAATAGATTAGCATATTTCTGAGTAGGCATGAACCATTGTGTGTGGAATATGTAAGTAGCTTGCAAATCATCAAGAAGTAAAGAATTTGCAGAACTTCCATTTTAAGAGAAAGTAATCGAAATCAAGTACTGAACATGACGCCTGCAGCCTAGTTAAGCTGTTACACTCCAATCTTCAATTCTCGTTATCTAAAAAGGGCAGGAAGTGCTCAAAACTAAACAATTGAGAGCTTGATGACTACTAAAAGATAAAGGTTTGCAAAATTTCCATCAAACCCAGAAGACCTAAGGCAAAAGTATTTGAGCAAAAGATGACTCCCAACACTAGACAAAAAAACCTGGTGGCGGCACCTTAGTACAAGTGAAGATGTAGAAGAACTACTGCACCTAAACCTAAATGCAATCAATAAGAAGCAGAAGGTAGTTCGTTAAAAGCTGACTGATGTATATATGATGGATAAGGCACACTCATATCTGGAGTCTGATAACGACATGGAATCATCACACAGAAATGGAATCCTCAATCCCTCAAAATTGTAATTCTACGTATCTCATACGCAAGGATATTCTGTCGAAGAGAAGAATTGCAAAGTGGAAAAAGTTTTACACATGCATGATCAAGCGAAGTGAATAATTAACTAATGATGATCAAAGCCTACTCACAAAGGACAACAATTTATCATGTATTTGATTGGACAACAGACAACAGGAGAGAATGGCCTAATCCAACACCAGACGCACTGGCATCACTGGTTTCATGACTTCCTGTTTGCAAGCTGGTGTCAACTGGTGGTGTAAACCCGCGTGAATAAGTTGCTGATGTAGTCTTCAAATGCAACTCAGACATCTCTGACAACCCTTCAGCCACTGTGCTCTGTAGGAGTTCCAGCAATGTCCAGCTTATCCTGTAACGAGAAAGGTCATAAACACCAGGAGCCAAAAATGCAACACGGAGAGGTACCTTGGTAGATGCACCGGGGGCTAAAGAATGGATAGTGGTGGATCGCAGGTTGCACCAAAGAAATGGAGGGGTTGGAGTTCTGTATGCTACTGAGTTGGAGTTCTGTTTACTAGAAGCAGGATCTGCTACAACGTTGGCTGTGACAGGATCTCCTACGGGCGAAGCAGAGGTACTTAATGGTATCCATCCAAATTGGATCTCCTTGGGGGATGCGGGGGTGCTAGCTGGGGTAACCAAGTCTAAAGTCTCTACCCTTATAGAACCAGTGTAGATTGAGCAATTCCTGATTGTAAGCAGCATGGTAACTTCACAAAAAGGTTGGCGCGAAAAATTGTGATAAACAGGATTAGGACCTTCCATCACCCAAACAAATGGTTGATCACCCTGGACACTGCAAAAACAGCATAAAAGATAATAGCATTAAAATCAAACATGCAGAGTTCTTTAACAGAACAAGCATGCATTGCATAATATTCTTCGTAAGGCATAAACCAGGATAATTCACAATTGACGAATCACGCCGGATGTATTGGACAGCAATATCTAAGAAAACCATTCAAACATGTACAGGATCTCTAATGTAATTCACATAATGTGGCCTGCAAGCAATTAAAAACTGCTCCAAATCTAACAAGAACCGATGTACATCATAGGTCATACAGACAGTGCTTATAAAAGTAAATGAAAGTAACTTAGTATTTGGAAAATAATTAGGAGCAAAAAATACGACTTCACAACTATGCAGCCAACCAATAATCTAAGATCGAGCCATTTCCCAGCATCAAATAATGCCACAAATGATGCGCTTACACCACTAGCCTGGTAACCAAAAAATCATAACTAAGAATGCAAATTTTGTAAATACCTGCAATGGCAAATGTGATGAGCTCCAACTCGAAGGCTTGGGTTTTGCACTGCAGCATCACCCAAACCCTCCTGCTGTTCTGATATCAACACTACATCAACTTCCCCGCCATCCCGAAGAATATTAGAAGAGTCCGACGACTCTTCAACCGCACTTTTCTGAGATACAAGCGTTGTCTCATCAGTTAAACATTCAGTACCGTTTTCGTGGTTTTTAGATGGCACTGAAGGATCTTGTGATTCTCTATTTGTAGCATAACCATTCAAGAATAGGCAGCTCCGACAGTTCAAAAATCTTGGAATATCAAGTCATTCCTCAACAACTCGCAGACATTCATTTCTCATAATGTTCATGTATTAGCTGTGTAGAGAACGCACAAACTAAAATTGCTTTAGTTTAAAACTAGATGACATGACAGTAAAGGGTAAACAAACCTTGGCTTTAAGAAAGTATGGGAGAGGGGGTCGAGGCTGATGCAGCTTCTCAAGCATAAGAAAGTCAGCAAGAGGACCCGATGCAATGTCGATGAGGGGCTCTCTGCTGCTGGGAGGTCCCAAACCTATGTTGCTCACCTCATCTGTGTTAGACTTGCCCTCACGCTGTGCCACCTATCCATGAAAATGCACGTACTATAATCAGTTAGAACTGCTTAATACAGAGAAAACTAGGCTATGAAGAAGAAAGACCTGTACAACTTCACCCAAAAGAAGTAAAGTCAAAGCAAATGAAAGCCATTAATAGGATTAAAAGTCTAACCAAATCTACGTTCAATTTTATGAATAACATCCGCAATGGTGGGTAGAATGTCTAAATGATGATGTAATGCAATAATATTGTAACAGAATCCAACAGATCCAAAAATGAGTAAGAAACTAATAACGGTAATACTTACATTCAGCTTGAAAAAGAGGGACAAGGTCTGACTGGCAGGCAAAAGCTGTGAAGCACAGACTGATGAGGAAAGAAAGGCAACATTGTCTTCTGAGTCCTTGCCAAATACCCCCTCCTTGTCTAATACAGGTGGCAATAATGGTGCCAAACACCAACGGTCTCCACTGCAAGAGACTTGGCGCAACCAAAAGTTTTCCAAAGCATTTTGATTCTTCACGTCTAAGCGTAAGAAAAACTGTTGAAGATGAAGCGGGGACGGAGAAATTTGAACAGAGACTTTTAATGATGGAACCACCTGTACAAATGCAGAGTCTAAGTATGCATGAAGACAGCTTCAAATCTACCAAAGTCATTTCAGATGACGAGAATCAAAACATGAGTGCTAACATGTATCTCAAATTGAACAGGAATCAACAATCTTTTGAAACTATCAGTAGATTTAGGTCACAGGTGTAAAAACATTTACTCTATTAAGAGCATCGTACATATATATACATGTGCATGTTTCTCAAAGTAGAATATACCTGAATGCTTTCAGTCATTCGCACAGTTCGGTACTTCAGACCTACATTAGCACTATCAGACTCGTAATATAAAATGCTGTTGAGAGAAAGAGTGCCCGGCTGCCTGGCATGCAGCCACAATGGCCACAGTACTGTAGAGCCTCCCTCCAGCAGTGTATCCTGTTACATTACCAAATTGTTATTCTGGTGGCATGACTTAACGAACTACAAAACTCTGGACATGCTAGGATGCAGGCACAGACATAATGAGATCATAAAAATCATAAACTTTAAAGATTAAAAAAGACTACATCTAAAACTTGCTGATGAAAAACCCCATACAAAACCTAATTAGTGAATTCAATTAGTATGTTGCTTGAGATACAATGACATACGTGTGGAAATCATATGCAGAGATCTCATGCACTTGAAAACTCTGAAGTTTTAACACTTTTTCTCTTCAAGTTGCACTGAAAGCTTTCAGTTAGTGCAAGTCTGAAAGCCATTACTAAAATCAACCAATTTGAGTGCTCGAGAATTACACAAAAAGAAACCTGCAAATAAATATTTGACATGCATTGGAGTTATGTATAGCAAATAGACTAACCTCAGGAAATGAAAACACAGAAGGTCTTTTCTTGAATTCTGCAATATCGACATGCTTCAATTCGTGTCCACCCTCCTGACCTGCTTGCACTTCCAGACAACTGGGAAATTCCATGTCCAAATCTTCTGCTTTCCCAACTAGGAGAACGTTTGGATGACTTGTCTTGAATTTGATCCTCTGTGAGTTCAACATGTCCCCATGAACATCAAGCCTCAGCGGACTAAAATGCATACACGTTGCTAACCAAGCGCCTACGTTTGCATTTTAGACTATCAATCTATCTGATAATTTGACAATCGAATCGATCTGAGATCTAGGAAAAACAATAGCTCCAACTAAAAAGTTTGAAATATGAACTGAGTCAATCTATTCTAGGATGCAAGATACGCAAATATATTTTATAAATTTCATGCTGAAGTTCAACACAAATTAATAATTCTATAAATTCATCTACGTTCACATAATGAATTTATCAAAATTTTCAATAGAACGTGGGTTGAGCCAGCTAAAGTTCTGACAAGACTTGAAAAACAGGGTTGTACAGTGCAGAACTCGAGCCAAAAAGTCCTTGATACAGAATATCACTGTTACCGCATAGAAATAAACAAATGCGAAACCGTCGAAATGTACTAGGTAGGTGCGTTTGAGAAGACAGAATTTCACATAATTGTTGAAGTCTCAAGCAAACTTACTTTCACAGAGATTTTTGAGGGGTTGTACAATTCCAGAACAACACGATGAAGCTCCCCAGTATTGACTTTCATTGGAGGCTCGTGCATGGACACCTCTAGTCTTGGCATATGCTGCATTAACCAGCAACACTTCAGTTGATAACATCCACAGGTGACCAACAGACAGGACGAAAAATACCAACCCTCGAAGTCACGTGTTTTTTGATGATTTCTGTTGCAATTTGAACATTGTCATCCACAATTCCGAATTACTGGAACAACAAGACGTCTACCTAATCAAGGAATCACTATGAATTAAATGAACTCAAATTTCATGGCAAACAGAACCTCACCGCCAGAACATGGAATTTCAGGCGTTGATTAGGTGGTGGATTACTCCAAGCTCGAGTCTTAGACGTAGTGATCTGAGGCCCAGTGATTGTAAACTCTCGATGCCCTGTTGCGATACCCGCCAAGACCCATCGCACACCAACCACCTTCAGTACGCCCTCTTTCAGTGGTTTCGCCTTTAATCGGACCTGCAATGTTGACCATATCACCTCCAATCAGAAACCTCTTGCATCACCTAAATATTCGGTAGTACATAAATCTGTAAAAGGTGACACAAAGTCGGACACAAGAAAGGAATCCCGTTGAGTGGAGACTGCGAAAGTGTCAATTTCCAATTGTAAAAGAACAGCAAATATACCACAATCTTTTCCGCAGCTGGCAATTGGAAAGACTCGTCAGGAAGAACAACGGAAGGCATTGAATCATTCTCCACAGTAATAACTGTTGACTGAGCTTTATCTTCAATAAGATCCGAACTTTGATCTTCACTGTTTATCAAACGAGAATCAGGACTTCAGTATCAATATTAAATTTGGTTGGAGTTACCAAATTTGCAACACCGCCTAATGTCGAACCAGATAACAAAAATTGACATAACTAGAAGAATACATTCTGATGAACTCAAATAAATTTAAATTCAATTTGCGACACAACAGTTTTCGAATTACATCCAAAACAAATATGCTCATGAAAAACAATAAAAGTGGTCAACCTTGGGTTCAGGGCAATTTGTGCGGTGTCTGCATAAAAAACAAGATTCATGTTATCAAAATATCAAAATGGATGAGTTCACTGGTATGATGCGAGTAAAAGGTTCAAAAAACAGAACAGCAGTTTGTTGCAAAACTTCATGAATAGCATGTTAACAACTATAAATAATCAAAATAATTAACAAAAATGTTCAGCCTGCTAATTAATGGAATGGGAACCCAAAGAGCAGCAGCCAGCTTATTTGCTTGAAAATATTTAGGCCTAGCAATAGCGTAAAATCCAAGGTGGAAAGTTTTACCAGGTTTGTTTACACTGCTATCGTCAAATTCACAGGTAAGACAAACAGACGAAACATCAATTGGAATTTGAAGAGGATTGCTAAACTCCACATCAACCCCAACCTCCTCTGCAACATGATACGATGCAACAGGTTACAAACATTTGACTTTAAAACATGTGAGGATTTATTTTATAAAGGTGAGGTAAAAACCTAAACAATAGATATTAATGCGATGTATGATCATGACAAAGCGGCTTGCTGAGACATTAGAACTTCATGTCAAAAATACATGAGTAAAATCAATAGCTACATCAGAAAATCGGATAAATGTTACCGCTTGAATTTCGATACCAGAAATTAAAAATCGGCTACATTCTAATCTACTTCGACCAGAACCCAATACGCCCATACCCGCAAAGAAACTAGTGTTTGTGAATCACAAAAACGACCAGATATGAAATTACACTCATATATTACTCAAGAAACTTGTAGTGAAACATGAGAACTTCGCTTTATAAAAATATAGAGGCATATCTACAGGGCATTCGAATGATACCTAAAGTTCAAAGTCGAGACTTACCGCCAGCAATACAAACATTGTAGTCTATGGCTTGCACCAAAGACTTTGGAGCGTCCATCCACGTATGCGTTTGAACTGCAACAGAAGGTACAAGCCCCTCCTCCACAGGTGTCCATATGTTCTCTGCTTTTGCTGCCTGAACCCCACAGCAACATAAAACTCACTTCCGAGTAATGAAAAAAAAATCGCAGGGGAATGAAGTTAATGACATTAAAACCAGGCAAGAAACTTAAGCAGTGTTACAAGAAACACTTCACTGAAACTCTCTGAATCAAGCTCCTAATAGGTAGCAAATTTGATTGAACTTTCAGATAGTGGCAGCACTTACAGCAGAAGATGTTGAATAGATTCTATGGTCTTCAAAATGTACATGTACGCGCTCTGCGTTGATAGTCGGCAGCTCCAAGTCCAGAACTTTGTTCTTTCCTACCGTGTTCTACAACAAAACAGCCATTTAACTAATATTCCAGAACAACATCAATGTGCAAAATTTAGCTTACTTGCAGATGAACATCATTAACACAATAAAACATCGAAAAACGAAACTCCTGCCTATCCAAAAAAAACAAGGGGGCTCAAGGGCACAACGTTGACAAAATGATACGGTATGCCTCAAACAGAATGAACATAACGAGCAATTTCTGAAAAGTGATTCACAATACAGATTAGTAGTCGTCTTGAGATTTCACCTCAACAACATAAAGAAACTCTCTCAAAAAATTTGATTGATTTGCAGGAGACTGATGACTACATGTAACCAACTTCATAAAATGAAAAATCGCAAGGTCGTTATTTCCCAGAAAATGCGAAAGCCTGCGTTTTTTCATGCTGATTGTCAGATACACTTTCAAATAGCGAGGTAGAATACTGGTAGAGGAACACTTCAAATAACAAAACACCATAGAAATTACACGTTAGTCACTAAGACAGACCTAGATAGCATGATTCTGAGGATCATTGAAGAAGTAATCAATGTGGATGCAAATCGTACAATCAAAATATATATAGAGAAAGAGAAAGAGAGAGAGAAAAATATATAAATTAAAAAGGAAGGCAGTCATCTCATTGCCTGCCAAGATGAAAATGGACATGATCGCTGATGTATTTCCAACCCTGACCTTCAAAGATGCTCAGGACACTTCTGTAGACACGCATCGCATGCTTCCGCTGCACAAGTATTCGCCCTCTGAATTAGTTGCATCCATAATCAGATCTGAAAATAGTTACAATTGTGTTCTTGTAAATTGATACAGTAATTGCAGTACCTTGCACATGCAAACTGAAGAACTTGTTTATATAGCAGCACAATAGGAGAAAGTAGCCTTATGGTGCAAGTTCTTCGATCTTTGAAACAACAAAATGTAAGACCGAAAAAGGAGAAATGAGAACCTGGGAATACCTGAAAACACACAGTGTATCTATTGCCAGCCAGCACCATATGAAATCCAAACTTTCTCAGCATGGGAGGAGAAAGTCTCAAATAACAGTAGGCAGCTTGCTCCAAAAGCACTCCTGCACGCAAGCTTACACCCTGTCCTCCTTCGATTTTCAGCATTGAGGCTCGAAACAGAACATTCGCAGCCTCCCGAAACTGACCCCTTGCTTTATGTATCTCTGCCAGCCACATGGAAGTCCGAGTCGCATACTTCGCAGTATTGCCCCCACATTTCTGCATCATTGAAAAAACAAACTTGTGATGAATATATTGTAAAGCAGCATACTGCACATAAGTTTGTTCATAATAAAGCCCAAACAAACCATTGACTGAGAAATCTGCTCTTGGAATTCGACCTCTACGTCGCACATACAACCTGCAAGCTCCAAGGAATTCAGGCAGCTTCTCTATATGCACACAAAAACTTACAGAAAACTTTGAAAACGGCATCAACTAAAATATAGCAAAAGCCCTCCTTCGTTATCATGAAAGAAGACGTCTTGTGGGACTTGGAATAGGATAAAACGCAAGTGACAACCCTCACAATGTCTTTGAATTTCTTTTCAACTACCATCATAAGTCAGGTGATGTGCATACAGGTCAAAGACAGTAACCTGATATACATTATAAGCAGATTCTAAAGAGATTTCTGCTTCTCTTCGGGACTGGTCCATCATGAATAAACACAACCCTATCATTTCCTGATTTCGAAACACACAGCAAAGGAAAGTAATCAGAAAACAAACTCAATGATAAGTCCAACACACTTCAACCACAACTATATTCTACACGGCACACTTCGATTTCATGCGTAGAAAAAAAAAAATTGATCAATTAACACTACTACATACACATCGACTGAACAGCTGCAATATTTCCCGTACCGTGCTGTTAAGCACTGGGTAAATCTAGAACATGCGACAATTATTTGCTGAAAAGAATGGCCATCAAATTACGCTAGATTCTGGGTTCAAGGAATTGGCCACGACCTGGAATAGAACAAAGGTATTAGAATCATGTGACAAAAAAAGCACACAGGACAGAAGTATAACATTGAAAATCACTGACCTGAACCCCTGCATAACGTTTCCAAGCCTTATCGGTTTTGTAGTCACTAGAAAGCAACCGGTAATTTTGAAGAGCCAAGTCATAATCGTGTAGCATGAAGGCATAGTCAGCCAAGACCCGGATCTGCGACTCCATGCTGCTAAAGGTGTACCTGAGTCAGTTAACCCCTCACAAATTAGAGACTGAGACACAAGTTATAGATACTTTCTGATCATGATTACAGTACTAAACATTTCGGTTACTCTGATTCTGGAATACAAAAATACGATCTAAGCTTCAACTCAAACTACAACTTTTAGTACAAATGGTTTAGAATAGGATGATATCTAGATAGGATGAAATTAATTGGACCCTCAAATAAATGCAAGTTGAAAGAAAAGTGCAAATATATAGAGCACTGCACAGAAATGCCACATAAAACTGCTTTATAAGAATGAAGACGAACTCACTGGCCGCCAGCTTGGACATCGGATGTTTCTTCTTTACCCTTCCGCCACCATAAATTTTTTAATTGATTCTTAAGACCTCTCCTGGTTGCTGAAACCTGAAATAGGACATGGATTTTCAGCAGCAACAAGAAAAGCTCAAGCACTAATTGAAAACCTGCTAAACGCGAAACATATCTCATATATTTTTAAAGAAGGGCTGTTCTCAACCAACTTAGATCGTTCAAAAAAAATTCGTCCCTTGAAAAAGGTTTTATTGTGCATCGTACCATCTTGGCAATCAATAAAGGCTCCTGGAAAACATGATTAAGTGAGTGTGCAACCACTAACCTGTTGGTTGAGAATTCGAATTTTCTGCTCCATATGTGGAATAATTTGCTTCAACGCAAAATCCAGCACAAAATCTGATATCTGAGAAGGAAAAATTTATAACAAACATCAGTAGAAAACACAAAAGACACAATTCATTAGGTTATACATTAACAGGTATCATTCAAGTCCTCAATCCGAAGGTAGTGTAAACAGTTGCCTTGAGGGTAAAATCACAAAGATGCAACATCGAATTAAAACATGCGACTCTAACAAACATTATCAAAACGTCCTTAAGCTTAGAGAATTATAACGCAAATTTACCATTGCTACATCACTCTTGCTCAAGCACAAGCCTGGTCTTTGTTTTGGTGCTTCAGTGTCGTCCACCTGCATGACGAACATATAGTCAAAAGCTAAACTCAAGAGTCTATAGCGCTTATGAAATCTCAACAACAACGCATCCAAATAACATCACCAGATCATGACTGATTTAAATTCATTCGAAAATGTACTCCAATTTCAGCTTTGATTACATACAGTTCAGTATTAAATACTGGATCATACCTGCTTCAACTCAGGGGAGTTGTTCACAATCGGTTGCAACAACCGCCCAGACCAAACATCATTAGGGAGCGAATCAGAATCAATTGATCCAGAGTTGATACTCAAAACACCACAGTTGATAGCTCCAAATGTACTTCGCATCTCCGACAAGATTTTATTGGACCTGTACTCATGCAGCCATCAAATAAATGATAGAAAAAGATTAGACATTAATACAAAACTTGAATGACAAATAATCAAAAAAATATGAATTAAAGCCAAAAATAATCTCAGGCAAATCAACGACTGCAAGTACTTCAGTACAAACATCCCCTTGGAATACTACAAAGTTACTGAAACCTTTGAACCTGATCAAAGAGGCTTCTAAATATCTGTGACTGTGAAATATTCAAGGAATGTAAGCGCATTCAATTGAATCTTCTAACGCTGAAAGTGCGTTCATATAGACGTAAAAAATGGGTCAATGAATGTGCATCCCACAAACCATCTACTCCAGCAGAATTTTTCAGGCAATGATTAGCAACAGAGCAATTCAAATATCACTAAGATCTTACAAAGTAAACGAAATCTAGAAAGATGAAATTTCATGAATGATTAAAGTATCACGTGGTCTAACACCTTGATAATAAGCTTCCCAGGATTTAACGGCAAAAATGTTCTTCAGTAATATCACAATAACTTACTCATCCAATGAGCCATCCTGAACATCATGCAGTAGAACGTAGTGCTTCAAAACCTTGGGGTCCATCGCACCATCCTTCACAAGAGTAGGAAGAAAATCTGGGTTGTAGAGATCCACAAACTGCGTCAACGGGCTCTCGTCCTTTGTTGACGCTACCAAAAGACCTGCAACCTCACAAAAACCAGTTGCGCTTCAGCGCACTATCAACCAAGACCAAAATCGTAGAAAATTCTCACAAGTTACCCAGAAAGAAGTAACATGCTTGCCGATGAGGATTAAGTCAAAGATTGATTTTGATTGTTTTTATAGCCAAAAAGGAATGCATCTATTCCAGATTAAATTTAGGAAGCATCTGAGTCAAGATTACATAGCAACACTTACATGCTATAGGATGATCAATTGCTTCATGTTCTGAGAACGCAAGAGTCCGAATGTAATCTCGGCAATACCGTTGAAACCAAGATGATTGTGTTTCTGATTCAACCACTGTGATTCCACCAATGCAATTCAATAAATAATGGACTCATCTTTATATAAATCACAAATAAGTGTCATCCTAGCCATAGATCATAGAACAAGCATCAAGCTATTAAAACTCTGGTTCGACGGTGTAAAAAACTTTCCTCCTTCCTGGAGCCGATTAGTCTAGATTCAAGTGCAACTCACTTTTTCTGACAACCTCTATGTCCTTCGAATCTCCCAAGAGAGCTGCGGCAGCTTCATCACTGGCGTCACTAACACACTGAACAAGATAATCCTCTGCCACCTAATGCAGAAAACCACAAATTCAATGTCAGACAGTCCTTTCTCACAGCAGTATGTACCAAATGCCTTGACATCCCGGATTATATCAATCTGAAAGGCTCGGCGAAAATGAAGCACTGCGTGTATTTAGACTAACGAAATCAAGAATGTAGAGAGGTAGAATTGTGCGCCCAGAAAACCATCTCATCAACCCCTGTTTCCAAAAAAATTACAAAAATTAACTGTAGGTCCATTTTCCCGAAAGATTACAGACAACCTCAAAAGAGAGACTTGATTTCCTACCTCGGCACTGGGCTGAGCAATATCTGCAGCATAAAACATCCGAAGCTCAAAGTCCTGTAATCTGTAAGGCAGCTCACTTGCCGTGCGCACTGGAACTGCAATGAACATACCGCGCTTTCAGTAAGCAACTATCTTCACCCTATTAAAACATTCATTGGTGCATGAATCTTTACAGAAAAACCTCACTGCAGCAAAATCAGCGCAACGGAAATCAGTTGAGATAGATTGGACCGAAATTGGAAGAAATTGTACCATCAATTTGGTCAAGGACACAGAAAGGGCGCAACAAATCCACAATGCCGAGCTGATTTTTCCGCGATGTCTCCTCGGCACGGGCAGTGGCCATGACCATGACCACAGGACTCATGCGCTGCCGCAGGAGCTGCGCCAAAGCCGTCTCAGCAGGGTCCATGTTTCACCTACCACCGCAACGTCCACAAATTCCTCTAATCTAAGTCCACTGCAACAACCTGCCAGTCAACTCCCGCACGCAAAAATCCACAAACCCCTTCCTCTCCGCATCCCTGCGCCCTACTCCCCTATTCCATTCAATTCCCTCGTCCCGCCATCCTCAGATCTCCCCTTCCTCGTCCTCTATCTCCAGCTCCACCAGCACGTCACCTGTTCTCACTCGCCCCTCAGCAATGCCGAAATTCACCAGATCCACGCCCCCGCTTCGATCTCCTTGCACCCGTAACCCTAAAAGACCATCTCATCATTCACATCCCCTGCAGATCGAAATTTAAGACCTGTACATTATTCCCCGTTTCCGACGAAAAAAAACGCCACAATCACACGATTTAGGAGATTCGCACAGGAAGGGAGGGAGAGAGGCACAGGCAAGACGACGAGAGGCACCTCAAGCGAGGGATCAGAGACAATAGTAGAAGCGTGTGAAGAGCGCGGGCGCGGGAGCTTCCGCCATAGCCAAAGCCAGAGTGGCAATGAGAGGCACTTGAAGCCCTTGTGCGAAACAGGGGCTGAGGAAGGTGTGTTGTTGACGTAGTTAAACCAGCCATGGCGCGGTAAAACAAAAGGGGTAAATTCTATGGGGGCCTGGTTAATCACCTTTGCCAAATAATTACTCTAGGTTTTAAAAAATTATTATGCCTAATACGAAATTAGGTGGGACTAATTGGGTGGAGGGGATTGTTTTCGTGACCAACATTGTCCAATTAAAGTAGTTTTATTGCCTTGTTCTCAACTTTCCATTCTACGCCCATTTAGGAATAAGAGATATTAGATCAAACTTTTGAGCATATATGTCCCTTTTTCTGGTAAATAAACCATGTGGGCTACTATGAATTTTTGTTAAACAATTTTGAACTTGGTTGTTTTTAGAATTACAAAAAAATTACAAATAATTTTATTGATTTGTATGCGTTGTTTCTAATCGAACGAGTGTTTTGTTGTGGTCGTTATTGGGTTCAGATAAATGATAGAGCGATTTAACCAATTGCCTTGTGAGATTTGTGAATTGTTGTGAATCACTAAGTTTGACATGTTTGGGTGTAACACAAAATTTGAATATACATTAAGCAACGACTGTTTTCTGTAACTAAGATTCTTCGTGTACATGAACATTGTGATGATTTTTATGGTATTGAACTTTTTGTGTGATTGTAAAAGCCTAAGACGTCTCTTGCCTGTTGGGGTTTCCTTTGAAATTTATTCATAACAGGGTGGCAAAGACTCAAAAAATTGGTTGTGCAACGTAAGTAAAAAAAAAAAATGGTACTAAATTAATTCAGACGCGATGATTAGGTTCTGCTTTTATTTTCCTTGTGTTTTCTTTTGGGAAGGGGGGAGGGGATGTTTCGTGACTGATCGTATTTTATTTTGAACAAATATGTGCATATGTGCGTAAGAATATACATAAATACATACATACATACATACATACACTAATATATCTCGTTTCAAATCTTTAAAAAAATTAGTATTACTTACATACACATAAATGTATATAAGTATATTCAGTATATATATATATATATATATATAATCAAAACAGTGGTGGTTTTGAGAAACAGTATTACTTGACAAATTTGAAAGAGTTTTTTAAAGTGATTTATTGTATTAACAATGAATAAATGAATTTATAAGGCATTAGTCAAAGAATGCACTTGATTGGTACCACATTTGCACTGCATTCTACCATATCATTATGTTCATGTAGTTTATAGATCCTCAATGCACATAATAATGTTTAACAAAAAAGTTTGACAATTTATTACAACTTTTGGTTCATATCAAACAATAGGATGTGATCATTTTCAAACATTGCCAGAAGATTGAATATGACATATATTCTAAAAATAGTTCATAAAACAAGGACACACCAAAAGATCACCATCCAAACTTGTTTTGCTTTGGGGTTAGGCCATAGAATCAATCACTACTTTACAATTGTACTTCAAGTACACAATCTCAAACCCAAGTTTGATAACATCAAAAACGATTTAACTTGTTTCATCAAATTATCAAGCAAGAAACAACTCTTAAGTAAATAAGTTAATCAAATAAAAAATAAGCTATTTAATTTTGACCTCAAACAATATTATGTGTGATGTATTATACATGCATGGCATGTGTGCAATTGGTACACATGATAATTGCTAAGATACTTTCGACTTTTGACTTTTCCAATGGGGATTCCGACGGTTTTGACTTTCAATAAAATCAGAGACTTAATTTGTCGGGGGCTTCATTATAGAGTGGAACTGTCGACTTAATATGGAAATAGTCATTCTCATTACAGACACTTGATCTGCTCGACGATTATGCTCGAAATGGTGGTCGTCAATTCCAAACCCTAATGCACCTCCTCGTTCGGATGGGTTGTATTTTCGTAGAACTCTAGCACCAGTGTCTTTTTGGAGTTTGGTGTAGTTTTTGTGGAGAACCTGGTGTTGTTTGGAAGCAATAGCATTAGCTCAATCGTTACGGTGCGTGCTTATCGATTTCGCCATCTCTTCTTCCTGTCGTTGGCTTGATTGCGCACATTTGACGCCGCACAATCCAAACATGTCTCGTTTTGCCGAGGTTATGAATAGGTGGTGCGATGATTTTTGAGTGCTGTTTCTTAAGGGCAGGGTGGCATGGTGATCGTGCCAGTTGAGTTCGTACTGGATTATAAACAAGCTCACGATATTTCCTAAGGATTTTGGTGGATGTAGTAAGTGGATGGATGCTGTTTTTGGAGCTGATATTTGGTTGCGGTGGCGCATTTAATGCGAGTTTTTATGCCGTGGGCTCTTCGTTGAGCAACACCGCTTAGTACCAGCTTCCTCCCAGCATTTGGTGCATCCGTCAGCTGATTCCCATGCACTTGCTCCAGGTTTTCTTTCTCCAAATTGTTCTCGTTTTGACAGTTTTTCTGTGTGAGTTGTACATGAATATTTTGGCACTTGAAATTTCTTCGTCGGTGACAGATGTATTTTAATTTTAAACTCGCATGCGATCTAGCTTAAATTAGCTCGAGGCGTTATTGGAAGTTCGGGGTTCAATCGCGATTGAGAGGTTTTTGATATTTTGATAGTGGACCGTGCGTCACGTTCATAGCTCTCGTTCATAGACAGTCACCCTTCAGAATATGCTGACTCATGATTTCCGTTCAGCCTCGAAATCGCTCAAGCTATGAAGGCGACAGAAGTCACATTGGTCTGGCGCCGCTTCCAGTTATCGCTCTGATGATTTGTGTGTTTCCAAGATTAGCTGTTGGTCTTTCGATCACCTCTTAAAGTAGGCTTGGTCCGTCCACACATCTCGTAATTCAAGGGTCATGGCTCACGTCTCTTTGGCAGCGTCAAAGTGAGCAAGCATGTTTGAGTAAATGTGAAGGTCTAGTTTGCACCAGCGCGTTGCAAATTCTGAGTTCGTAATTTTAAGGAGCGAAAGCTCTACTTGTTTCATGCATCTACTTCATGTAGCCAAGCCTAGAACGGTCTGTCTGTCACCGAAAATGTCTTTGTTCAACGTAACACTCACTATTCCCTTCATCAGAACTTGGTTCCTTCGAGCGCTAAGAGAACGAGCACAACTGAATAATACTCGATTGCAGCTTCGTGCTAATTTGGGGTTAGCTATAAAGTGTCAAACTATGTAGCTGATTGCTTCATCCTTGAGATCATCACCAGGGCATTCACATTACACGCAAGTTTTTTGATCGTGCAAGACCAAGCTTATCTTGAATCCTTCTTCAACGTAAAATTTGAGTTGCTTTGTTTGATATTCACATTTTGGAAATGCGTAGAAGGAAAATTGGAGTGAGCCTTTATTCAATTGCTGTGCAACTTATGTATAACTAGTTCCAGAAAGTCATTGTTTCTGGGTTAAGCAGGCCGCTCTTGATCTCCCTTATGTGGATTTTTCTTAATCGTGATATTCGTACACGTGGGTAATGGTTTGCAGATGACTACCACCCAAATTTTGCCGTGCATCGGGTTGCTTGACGACTGTTAGATCCTCGTCCCTCAGCTCGTAAATCGCAAGCTTATTCTAAATTCTTTCGCTGAGATAACGTCGAAGTTTGGCTCGATATGATGAGCTCTTCAATCTATGATATATCTGGAGACAGTGACTTTTTGAATGCATGGTTCGGCGAACGTGACCAGGCATGAAGAACGTATTCTCAGTACCATGAGCTGGATACGAGAATCCACATTATTCCAATCATTAATGAAAACAAGTCACTCCAGGGCATTATTTACATGAGCTTACAGATTCAAAGGAGCACTTATTATCATCGTTATTATTATTATTACTATTATTCTTCCAGCTTCAGGAGACAAAGCATCCAGATTTTCAAGGAAGAAACATACGGAAGCATGAAACATCCACAAGGCTTAGAAGACATGGTGACCCTATGTTACAATGGCACATTTTTTTTTTAAAGTGCCGAAATTCTACACCTATGGTGAAATATCTAACCTAAGCTCCATAGGAAATCCTTCAACTCCATCGGGCCCAAACATGCTGCGAGGACATTCAGGCACCACATGCCATGTGCCATCCGACAAATCAAATACCCACGTATACTCCCACTCAGGTGACGAAAAGATGAGAGCATCTTTGTGGTCTTCAGCCGAGAAGGTGTAAATGTTGAATGAATCGAAATCATGCGAAGAATCGAATGGTTGGTAAGGAACCTCACCGACAACGACTATGTCCAGACCCAACTGGTCGTTGATAGCCCACACTTGGAAACACCCTTGGCCAGTGGAGGAATGCTCCAGTTCGAAGGCAGCATCTCCACCCACCACGCTTCTCGTCAAGACGAGAACGCGGCCGTGACTCTCTACAATTCCTAAGGTCCGCATGCTCAAAAACTCATGAGCGGATGGCACATTCAAGTGGATTCTACTCCAAACCCCTGTCTCCAAGTCATACGCCGCAATCTGGGACAGGTTTTGGGACAAGCAATACATGAAGCCGTTTTTGACAAACGCTTGGCAGGGTCGGTTCATGAGGTAGGGCAAGCCTTCCGAGGCATGGATCCTCCCCGTCTCTTGCCACTGTTTGGTTGTGGACTCGTAGACTCGTGTGATCAGATCCAGCTCCTCGATGACGATGATTTTGTACGAGTTGTGCACCTCGTCAACAACCATGGCTACAAAATCAGGCAGCCCTTTCCCACGGAGAGGGAGCCAAGGGGGCAGCGCTCGCCACATCTTCGTGATGGGGTTGCACACTCCCAGAGTCACCTCATCCTCCAGGTTGTAGATGGCGAAGCACAGCAGCCCTCGGCTGGTCAGAATGAGGTAGAAATCGGAGAAAGGCAGGAAACTGAAGGACAACGAGTGCCATTTTTTGGTAGTGGAGCAGAATATGGATGCGTCGCGGGCGAAGTAAGCGAACGTGAAGAGAGATGGCCCGATTTGCACCCGGTGGTCTTCCATGCCATACAGCACGAAATAGGGTGGCTCGGAGGAGACCTGGCTATGGGTTTTCACGAAGCCGGCGGAGTGGATGAGGCTGTTCCATCGCTTGCAGACGGTGCGCAATGCGAACAGGCGAGGGATAGGGAGGTGCGCCAGAATCAGGTCCACCAGGGGCTCCGGCATCGTCCCCCACAGCGCCCCACTCATCTCCATCGGAGCTACCGACGGTGCCGCAGCTGGCACCCACCACCACAACTCACTCACACACACACACTTTCACTTACACTCATGCGATGAAAAACAACTCATGTTCAATACATTGTCACATTCTGCACGGCACTTGTACTGTTGTGTGTGTTCAACCTCAAATATTCTTTTGTTTGTGTTTTCAACCTATGTTTGTGTATTCAGTATACTAATCACAAATGCTGTTGTTTGTGTGTTCAACCTAAAACATTATTTTGCTTCTTTGTGATGCTAAAACACGGCCTATTTAAGAGATGGCCTTATTAAGAGATTTTGGCACATATTGCATGCAAACTGTGATGAATTTGTTAAGGGGGTTTCAGTGTTTTAAGTGCATGTATATATGTATATATATATAGAGAGAGAGAGAGATTGTCTTTTATGATGCAAATGCATGTGAGGATTGTATGTAGATTTGGATGTAAAAAGAAAAAGAAAAACACACACCTAAGTTATGGGTATTGAGCAGGATGTTCTTCTTTGTACCCACTTTGATACAAATGTAGTCATTAGATGTCAATTCCTTGCAAAACATTTGGAAGATGCTTTTAATTTCTTCAGGTGTCATGTGGATTAATTGCTCTCGTGTTGTCTCAAAAAGGATCCTTAAGTTGTAGTTTTTCAAGTCTGGCTCTGTTTCATGTGAACCGCATGTGTTTAATGCATCTTCCAGTTGGTGAATTTCATTGTGTACACTACTATAAATACTACTGCTCACAGAGTTGGAATTGCATGAAGAGCATAAAGACTCCATTTCCATGCAGTTTGTAAGTTGATTTATAATTTGATTTGCAAAATAATCCATCTTTTAAATTATTTTTATATCACTTTGTTGGATTCTAAGCCACATATTGGTATCAATGTTACTTTGATTTTATTCTTGAAGTTTGAAGCATTATTTGATTTTATTCTTATCCAAAAAGCACTTTTGATTATTTCAAAAACGAACATTTTGATTATATCATAAAATTATTAGAATGGAACAGTAATTGAGGTAAATTATAAATTAAATATATAAATTGAGGCAAATTGAATGATATTAAAGGTCATATCCTTTGAAAAAAAGCCCCATCTTTTGTTGAGCATTCTTACATTAGCTTGAAGACTTGATTCTGAATGATTCAAATTCACATATTTTTTTAAAAAATCATTTTTTAATTTATTTTATGTTTTGAAGTTTCAAATTGTTAGTTTGATCCATCCAACTGTTGCACAGTATTTTTGTGCTTATCATTTTTGATATACATGAAAGGAAATGTCAATAAAATTTCTTTTGAAATTGATTTAGCTGGAAAAAACCTAAATATGAAGAAGAAAACATTTCATGGAAGAATGCATTCCCGTTTTTCTACAAAGGAACATTTCATTTTTATTTTGATTTTGATTTCTTTTTTATTTTGCAATAAGATTGCATGAGGAAACATAAGAATGCATGTCATGTTATCAGTTTTATTATTACTACCCTTTTCAATATGAAGTCACAAGTTCTAAAAGCAATTTCAGTAATCTGATTAGGGCTAGAGAGATAAATAAGTGAAGAGGAAGACACAGAAAAAAGCTGATGAAGAAAGAAGCGTAACACCTGAAAGAATTAGATAATTCCACCTAAGATAAAAATGTAAATAAAATAGAGTTATTAAAATTAATATCTCTTGTGAAGGATTATTATTATTTATGCATGTAAATATGTGCAAATGTATATATATATATATATGTAAAAAATATGAAATAGGATAGAAACTAAAATTATTTGAGTGATCAAATGGAAGGAGTTTAGATAAAAGAATAATAATAAAAGTTAAATGTGATATAGCTAATGGAAGGTTTTTTAAAAAAAAGTTAAGCATTAAATGTAAGCTAGTATATCACTCCAAATAATTCATAAATAGAATTTATAAAAAAATTGAAGTATTACATATGTTAAAATTAAATACATCAGTAAATACTCAGTTGATTATACTAAATTAGGATGGAGACAAAGTGGTAAATAAAATAAACCAATAACATCAATTAGCCAATAAATATTGATTAACTCTGGATGCAATAACAATATTAATTTAGAATAATAAAAAAGTAGAAATATACCTGATTAATCTTAATATTAATGATTGTGATTGCAATGTAATTTTAATGATGTATTTTTGTTGTGTTTGAACCAAAATTTACAAACATAACAGATGAACTAGTTAAAGCAAAATGAAATCACATAGGAACTTCAGCTTGGAGTTCTATTACAGTAAAGAGTAGATATCCAATTTACTTGCATATATGTACTTGGTATCAACAATTTTAATTACTTTGATTGTAAAAATAGATGGAAATACTGTAATAATAAAATGCTAAAAAAGCCACTTTTACATTTTTAGCATGATTGCAAGCAAATTTGAGAACATTACTAGTTGTGATTTGTGAAAATAAACATTCTCATTCATACACACACACACACACACACACACACACATATATATATATATATATATATATAATTGTAGACATTTTATTTTATTTTTATTTTTTTGTAAATGCGACAAAGATAAATTTCATACTTAAAATCTAGCTTTCACCAACTTTTATTTGTGTTCAACAATAAATTTTATGAGATCACAACATTTATAAGAAAATAAAATAAAATAAAATAACAATTGCAACTACATGCAGTTTACACTACTCAATAAAAAGGAAAAGAACTGAAGTGCCTATTATTTTTTCTATGAAAACATAACGAAAAGAAAATGAAAAGACACTGGCACTTATCACTACCTGCTGGCGATGCATTGCTGGCAATCCATGTGGCGCTCTCTCAGTGCATCTCTGCACTTCTGATGCCGCGTCAGCTCAAGTCCGCTGGCGTGGCATGGGCTCCTTCTCCAGGTCAGCACGCCTTTTGCTTTTGTTATTCCTTCAGAGACTAGTTTTGACGTCTCAATTTGTTCAACACATGCATGATCTCTACAAATTTTAGGGGCACAAGTATATATATACATATATATATATATATATAAATTTCAAACAATGTATCTTTAAATTATACTCTACAAGAAATATATTCATGTGCTCAACATCAAGGATAGGTTAAGGCAAGCTCAAAACATATATTCTCACCAAAACAAAAACAACAATATTCAATATTATTATTTTATTAAATTTTAATAGTAATAATAACAAACAAAACAAATCTAAGTTGGAATGTACTGTAAAAAAATCTTTGAGAAAATTTAGCAAGATGGAATCATCATAAATATTTTTCATCAGTTCTATTAAAAGAAACCCTTTAACGAGATTAAAAAAGGTTGACAAACATCAAAAATTGAATCATGGGCTCTACAACAAGGAGAAATAGATAGCTAATCAAACAACCCTTTGTTCACAAACCAATGTGACACGCCCTCATCCACGTGGCACTCCAGGACCTTCGATCCCATGGAACCTTCACTAATGGAATCTATATTAGCACACCACCAAAATGGGGGAATCTAAATTAGGTCAAAATCACACGCACGCTACTGGAACCGGACAAATCCACCTCGACGCCATGCAGGAAAAACGATCCCACGTGGCGAGTGTGGAGTGGTCGGACCCCCTGTGAGGGCCTGGAGGGCGGGAGCGGCGGGGGGGGAGTCACACCAATGCATGATGTCTGCGTCGATGTCCTTTGGGCGGGGGTGGGAAAAGCTGGGAGCCGCCACATGGCGCCCATTTTCGAATTAGTTAACTCCATCACGCTGTCCATCTTCTACAACTCCGCCGCTCATGACAATTCGACGCCGCTGCGTTATCTATCGTCTGTGTCGTGGCTTTGCCTGGATTCCTCTCGGAAGACGATGCAGGGAGTAGTCTAATTGTGCCGAAGTCAAACCTTTTTCTATAACGGTGTTCATTTATTCTTTTTCGTTTTTTTGTCTTCGCGGTGATTGCTGTGTAAGTCTTTTAGAGTCTAGATTCTCGAGGTTTTAATTTTAATTTTAATTTTTCTATCTTGGGAATAGGGAGCATCTCGTGGTGTGTTGGTTGGAGACGACGACAAGAGGTGGGAATGCGTAGCGAATGTGTTGTGTTCTGTAAAATTGCGGTGATGAGGCAGAAGGCGAGGGACAGCGAAGTTGTTGAGAGATCGTGTGGTCCAGGCGGTTTGCTTTCGGGCTCGGGTTTGGTTTTTGAGTTTAGGATAGTGGCGCGGGGGGTGGGGGGGATGTGAATGAGGTGGCGCAATTTTGTCTATGACTTGGGGTGGGGTTTCGAGGGAAGGTTCATGTGTGCGTAAATTTATTGTTGGAGATTGCGTTTAATGCGGGGCAGTGCATGGGGAAGGAATATAAATTGGTTTCGTTTGCTCTCGTTCTTGGTTCTACCTTGCTGGACTCTGGCGCATGTCATGCTTGGTAGGGCTTGGAACGAGTAGGAAGTTGGTGTGAGGGTGGATTGGTGTTCGAGAGAATTGAGCTGCATGCTGATTGTGATGTGTAGCGATCAAAGCTCGAATCAAACTTTGAAGAATTTGACACAGTTTCGTTTCTGCAATTGCTGATTGTTCATGAATTGCTGCAAGTATAACGACGTGATGTGTACAAGGTTTCCAGTGTGCGTCCAACTCAAAGTTTCATAGTGCTGTGATTTCGTTTTCTACAACGGGGCTGTCTCCTACATAGTCTTATGATTTGAAAAGACGATACATGAATTTCTGATTGGAACCACCTGCAATATTTTCCGATGCTGTGTCTGTAGCTCTGACTGGAATCAGCACGAATCGTGCCAGAATTGTGTTTTGGAAGAATGTTCGTTGAATGTTTCACAAACATTAGGATTAGGATTCGCATTATATGTTACATTTAGGCAAGAGGTCGGGTACTTTGCATGAGTTCCTGATCTCGACGGCGATTGCAGTTTCCGCATCGAACGAAAAATTGAGAAATTACCACGGTAACTCATGGCTCCTCATGTGAAGAGTACAGAGGAGACTACAGATTTGGAGATTGGAGCAGTATCCAATCATTCGAATGGAATAATGGGACATGCGAAAGTGCCGGATAAGGACTTTCTTGAGACACCAGATCACCAGTTATCCTCTGTTCCTATAACATTGAAGGTATCTTGAAAGTTGTTTCAACATGTACGTAATACACGAATGTATTGTATGAATGAGCAGTGATTCATCTGGGCGACGGAATCATTTGTTTATAGGATTTACAACGGTTGCGATTGTCTGGGTTGCAGTTTTCCAACGTAGTGTACAGCGTCACGATGAAGCAGCCCAAGAACTGGTGGAACATAACGAAGCTTAAACGCAATGTCATGAAGACTCAAGATAAGACGAAGGAGATTCTGCATGGAGTTTCTGGTGTTGTCCGTGCCGGAGAGATGCTAGTTATGCTGGGGCCGTCTGGAAGTGGCAAAACAACACTTCTCAATGTCCTCGGAGGAAGGCTGAAGAGTGCGAAGGTGAAGGGCACGATTCTTTACAACGACGAGACTCATTCGAACTTTGTGAAAAGACGCACGGGCTTCGTCACACAGGACGATGTGCTGTTTCCAAATTTGACAGTGAAGGAGACACTTGTATACGCTGCTAGACTTAGGTTGCCTGATACGTACACGCGGGAGGCGAAGGTAAAGAACTGAAATGCCCGCATTGTTGAAGGTTTCTGTAGAAATTTCCTTGAACACGTTCGCCTTTTTTCACAAGATCTCTTTTAATGCAGTGATTTTTTTATGTTTCGAATTGTCCTCAAGGGAATATTTGCTATTACTTCATTTGAGAACTTGGCTGGAATTGTAGAGGAGGGATCTACTGCTGAAGCCCTTTAACGGCTTGTAAAGTTTTTACTATTTGTGATGTGTTCCTCAGGTGCAGCGCGCTGAGTCTATCATCACAGAGCTTGGACTAGAGCGTTGCAAAGACACAATTATCGGAGGTCCATTTAAACGAGGAGTTTCAGGAGGAGAAAGGAAGCGAGTCAGTATCGGCCATGAAATGCTTGTGGACCCAAGCCTTCTCTTCCTGGATGAGCCGACTTCGGGATTGGACTCAACGACTGCCTTGAGAATCATCAAAACTTTGCAGGACATGGCAAAGAGTGGGAAAACCATCATAACCACAATTCATCAGCCTTCTAGCACCGTCTACCACATGTTTGACAAAATGATTCTTCTCTCTGAGGGTCACCTGCTATATTATGGCGATGGCCATCAAGCGATGAGTTACTTTGCATCCATCCACTTTTCGCCGCCATTTCCGATGAATCCCGCCGACTTTTTGCTGGATCTCGCTAATGGTGTGTCTTGCTTCTTCTTATTTTTTTTCGTCCCTTTTTTTCTCCAAATAGAAGCCGGAAAACCCCTGTGCGATTGGGATTCCCTCCTTCACCTCCAAATTTTCGAAGATTGTATGCAAAGTTATTGATGAAGATAGTCATGAACAAAGCGTGCGCTAATTTCTGAAACGCGTTGCGGCATTAAATTCGTCTAGTTGGTTATGCTCTTTTTGCCTCACATTTGATGTGGAAAAATCTGCAGGAGTGACACCTGACAGGCTAATTGAAGGAGAGGACAAGTCTGGTGCTTTTGAAGGAAAGAAGCACAACGAAGATCCACAAGCTGTGCGTCAAGTACTCATCAAGGCATACAAGAGCAATTTGGAGCATAAAATAGACACTGAAGTTGCGTCTACTTCTGCCCCTGCAACAGCATTTGCTGATAAAGGTATGTATTCGTCAAAGAGAAGTATTTCGTCTGTATGTGACACAAAAGGAAACCTGTTTTCCGAGCTTTTGGATTAGGCATGAGCAAACGAGAAGAAACTTTGGCTCTGCACAGATAGAAGAGCGCGAGAGGATTTTTCGTTTTAAAATATTTCGAGTCCTTGGATAGATTATGGACTGAGCCAAATTGCAGAACTGGGAAATGATTCGTGTGGTTAAGTTGCGCTTCTGTGTCAATGGCAATTCCCTGAACATGATTTTTCGTACTTCGATAATAACATTCTCTCCTGTGGCATGCGTGGCAAAATTCCAGCTGGATTGAACAAGTGGTCCACATCATGGAGAGAGCAGTTCAGTGTTCTACTTGAACGAGGTTGGAAGGAGCGCCGTCATGAAGCATTTTCACCTTTAAAAATAGGACAAGTGCTCGCTATCTCCATAATTTGTGGTCTCCTTTGGTACGATTCGCCTGAATCTCAAGTGCAAGATCGGGTAACAATTTGAAACCACAAATTTTTTTATTTAATGAATCGATTCTGCATCGTAGAAGGGATTTCATGATAAGAAATTGCATCACTGGCTTAACATTGAAGTTGATAAAGAGTCGATTCAGTCTGGACTCTGAGCTGTGACTGTCATGCATATTTAAACACTGACTCGATCACTTCTTTGTAACAAGCAGGTCGGACTTCTGTTCTTCTTCATAACATTCTGGGGCTTTTTCCCTGTGTTTTCTGCTATCTTCACCTTCCCACAAGAACGAGCCATGCTGATTAAAGAAAGAGCCTCAGGCATGTACCGGCTTAGTGCATATTTCATGGCTCGCGTTATAGGCGATATGCCTCTAGAGCTTGTTCTACCAACCATTTTCATAACTATTGTATACTGGATGGCGGGGTTGAAGCAAACCTTTTTGGCATTCATCCTCACTTTGTTGGTGATTCTTTACACTGTCCTCGTATCGCAGGTACTGAAAAATTCTCTCCCTTCACAAGCCCTAAAATCGCTGAATAATTGAAAATATGTATTTTGAAAAACAAAAATGTTTTGTATTTCTGCATTAATATTCTATCCATTCCTTGAATTTTTTTTATAGTTTTTTCTCCTTCTCAATGAGTCACTTGAAATTGATCCGTGCAGGGTCTAGGACTCACATTGGGAGCGGCTCTAATGGACGTCAAGAAAGCCACAACTCTAGCATCTGTGATTATGCTGACGCTCTTACTTGCTGGCGGGTACTACATTCAGAACACTCCCAAGTGGATTGCATGGATCAAGTACTTGTCTGTTAGTTACTGGAGCTACAAGCTTCAGCTGGCAGCGCAGTACTCTCCCGACCAAACTTATGCTTGCTCCACAGGTTCCTCAGGACGGTGCCGAATCGCAGACTATCCTGCGGTGGCGAATGTAGGCCTTGATCAATTGGGTATTGCCGCAATGGCCATGGCCATCATGCTGGTCGGGTACAGACTTAGTGCATATTTTTTCCTTTCACGGATTAAAGGACATGATAAGTAAGATAGTAGAGGATCTTCATTGCAGTTAAGTGACTGTAGCATTATACTTGTACAATATTGTAGCCAGTTGGAGAAACTAGTGTGATGACAAGAATTTTAGCTATGATCATGTTGGAGTAGTAATATGTTGAATATTATAGACAGTGCTCCTGTTAAGGTTGAAGTAATCTTCAATCACATTTTTTTCTTCATATGAATTACAGCTCCACATGAAAGTTTTATAGATTCGCAGGAACAGGGATAGTGTACGTGGTCATTATCTGAACAGGATGGAGATACATGTCACAAATACTACTAGCTCTTGTAACAGTGTAGCAACCATGTAATGCACCAGATGTGCAATATCGATGAGTTTAAAGATTGACCAACAAAAAGAAAATTCGTGAATTTCCACTCAAAGTTGAAGCTCGTTACATTTCCACTCAAAAGTAGGAACTAACAGTGGCTGATTTTGCAGACTCAAAATTCTGGCTTGTGTTTCTCAATCACTTCCACACCAGGCTACCATCATCTCAACCCCCTCGTCGAGTTAATGTATCAGATCTATGTACAAGTTTGATGCGCCTACAAGTTCAACTTATCAACACATTTTCTACTGTACACTACTCTCCACCTACTTTACACAAAGCTCCTCTAGTGGTTTGAATGGAAAGCTTTCCTTGCAGACGATAGCATTTCCACAAGCTTGCGCGACCTCTTGTACGTTGTCGACTGCCCCGACTCCACCAGTGATGCTTGGAGCCGCGCCCTGTCCTCGATAACATCTGGATGCACCGCTCCCAACTTCTCCTCCTTCACTCTCACCACCTCCTCTAGAAGCTCCCGAGCTTCTTCCGATCTGCACATGGTTGCACAACATAATCAAGCTGAGGCCCAAAACCTAGTAAAACCTATTGCTCGCAAGGGTTGAACACGAAACACAAATCTTTTTATATTGAGAACTAATGACATGACTAGAGTGAAACAATAGGGGATTGAGAAGGAATTGAATTACCGTCCAAGGGTGATGTAAGTGCAAGCAAGATTACTCCATACGTCCAGAGTATCCAGATGCTGCGGACCAGCAGTAATGTCCATCACGGCCTTCGCATCCTCGAAGAATCGAGCTGCTTGCGGGATATTGCCTAGTTCTATGGAGGTAATGGCCACTTGGTTCATCACTAATCCTATCAGAGGGGAGTTTCCCAAAGTCCCGGCCTTCATTTTCGCTAAAGCACTTTGAAACGATTCCAAGGCAGGCTTGAACTGGTGTAGCATGTTCTGAAGGATCCCGATTTGGACTTCTAGTCCTGCAACGGTGGCTTGCTGACCTGCTCATGGTCACGAACAAAGTAGACGATTCAGCCACTATTCGGCATCGTTACATGGCACAATGCAGAGCGTTTCGTATAATAATGAGAGGGCTAAAGAGAACACAATCGACAGGATTTGGAACCTGGCAATTTGTCTTGGATGTTGTACGCCCGCTGCAGGAGAATAAGCGCCGTTTCTTTCTCGTTCAGCTGCTCAAGAATGCTTGCGATGTTCACCAACCCGTAAGCCACATCGTCAGGAGTGTGACCCACTCCTTGTTTGGCAAGGATTTGAAGAGCGAGCTGGCAGTGGACCTTCGCTTCTTTGGGTTTGTTTGTCTGCATGTACAGATCCGCGAGGCTTGTATAAGTTGATGCCACAAGGGCGTTCTGATCGCCTTGCAGTATCTTGAAGTCGTTGACGCATTTGCCGTAGCATTCGAAGGCCTCGGAGTCTCGGCCGAGGGCGACAAGCTCGTCCCCTATGCTCTGGTTCCCGGTAGCAACGTCCAGCTAGCACAACGACAATACGTTAATCAGTTAATGAGTTTCTCCAGCGCGTTGGTGTGTGTTGCATAGAACTTGAGATGGGCGAGAAAGCACCTCGTGGTCAAATTTCACGAAGATGTCATTTGCATAAACTAGTGATTCCAAGGCTTTGCTGTGTTCTCCCTGCGCGCTGAGGATGATCGCCAAGAGCCGGTGGTCAGCGGCTTCCTCCACTGCTCCTGACTCACAGTGCTTCGTATGGATGAGTAACGAGTGCTCACAGAGCTCCTTGGCTTCGGCAAACTCCAATGCCTGCAGTCGAGATGGACACACACACAAACAAATACACCTCGTTCAGGTTGTTGCGCAATAATCGCCAAGCTAGCCTTGCTCTGACAGATTCGTAGGACCTTCAAAGGGTCTTTACAACCTCAATTTGTGCTGCGAGCTTAAAATTGCCAGGATTCGGAGAATATTTAAAGAAGAAAGCAGAATGCCAAATACCTAGAGTACATTGTGCTTTCAAAGGTTCCTTTGAGACTCACTAATGTTGAATTGAATCAATTTGTCGAGGTAAAGAGAGCAGGTAGTCTGACCTGGATGTGCACTTCAGCGACGTAAATACAAGTCTCCGCAACGCGGGGATCGAATTCCCCAAGATTAGACTTCTGAATGTCGAGAGCTTGGTGGTAGTGTTTCAGGCTTGAGGATAACTTCCCAACCATGTACAAGGTGTCGCCAAGCTGCATGTGGCCGCTGAAAGCCGCAAGAGCGTGCTCTTCCCCTCCGCCTTCGAGATAGGGGAGGGTAAGGGAGCGCTCAAGTTGCGCAATGGCGCACTCGTACTGTTTGAGATGGCAATGCAGGGTGGCCAGGATGTGCAGGCTGAGGACGAGGTTAAGTATATTCTCCCGTTGCGCATGCCGTTCGTAGAATTTCACAGCGCGGATACAATACTCCAGGGCTTTCGCAGTATTGTCTCCCGAATCGAAGAATTTCGCAAGCTTCAGAAGGTAGGGACCCATGTAAGGGCTGTCTGCGACCGACTCCTCGTCGCGAGCAAATGCCTCGATGAACTCCACCGGAAACCCCCGGGGCGAACACCGAGGGACGGCGGTGGGCGTTGTGTCCGGACCCTGGAGTTGCTCAGCGTTCTCGTCCTCATGGGACCACTTCGCCGCAATCTCTAGCTGTCGATGAGCCAATTCGAGGCCGTCCTTCGCAATTTCGTAATGAACACCCTTGAGCGAGCCACTGTGCTCGAACACGCTGTCGGTGAACTCGCTGCGCATCGACATTTGTGTGCACTCGCTGCGATACGAAAGTTGCGAAGCGTTTCCATCGGACGGCTTCTTCAGGCACGACTTGAGTGGCTCCTTGGTGGGAGTCGCTTCGCCGGACTTGGACTTCTTGGCCTTCTCAACCGATGCTTGCTTAGGAGAAGGCTCCTTGGGCATGATTTTTGAGGAGCTGATTCGGGTTGAATTCCGAGAGAGTCTCTTGCTTGTGCTCTGTAGCTCTGCGTCCTCACTTGGCGGCGTAGTTGGTGGGGTGCTCTTCGTCAATTTCCTCGGCATTTCTACAAAATTACCCGTCGCATGCGGAGGCATAGTTCTGAATTGAAAAATTCACCAATCCTGCATGAAAGTTGCAGGGGTTTTGAACCGCGTGTCTCTCAATCCAATTTATTTCTCAACAAGATCTCCACGAGCTACACTAAAATTCTCATGAGCCCATGCTTCCTTCCACCTCTTCCTCTCACAATACCTCAAGAAAATGTCTCACACCAGCTCAAGTTATCGAAATAGATTTAAAATTCTAGCAACACTCTCACCAAGTAAAGTCCCTGTAATAATCCAGAATTCCGTAGCAGGACAGCGTCGTTCGCATAATTCTCCCAGCGCCTCTTGTTCCCAGCAGGTGCTCAGAACAGGGCGTTGTCCCCAGCAGACGAGATGATCAGTTAGCAAAGCGCATGAAAAAAGCGAAAGGACCAAATCATTCTGTGACCCAACTGGGAGTGTAAAGCCGAGACGTGTACTGTAGACTTCTTACAGGACCCTTTTGAGGTTACATCGATGAGACAAAAAAAAGCTCAGAAGTCTCCAAAAGCATACTCAACCAACACCCGCGCCGACTACTCAACTGAGAGAAATTCAGCGAGTACTTAATGAGAGCATGAAAATAACTAAGCTCCGCCGCTCCGCAAACAAGACACCTCAAGTAGCACGAAAAAGCGAAGATAATTCTCCGAGAGGGTTGTCTAAGACAGATTAAGAAGCGAAGAGAGAGAGCGAATCCTCCTCCGCGTGACCCAGTCAAATCCTGCCTCGAAATTATACGAAGGCCAAATTCGGCTGTGCCATCGGGAATCTCCCAAAACCCGGAAAAGCTTGGAAAAGAACCCCCTCCTAAAGCACCCCTACGCCATCGCGTTAATTTGTACGCACACTCGGGCCTGAAATCAATGCCCTCTCTCTCTCTCTCTCTCTCTCCCCAAATAGCCCTTCTCCTCGCGCAACCACATAATGCCAAATCCCAACATCATCGTTATTACTAATTGCAACCAACTTGATCCCTCCAATCCACCCCAACTTAACCGATAGAAACAATTACCGTCATGACTCATCGTCAATCAGCAATCAATCGCCGCCGCTAAGCCGAAACTCCTAACGCCGAGATCTAGTCAACGCGTGCAACGGTTGCCCTTTCGAAACAGTTAAGAATCGCGAAAGGGTTAATATTTCCAGTGACTCTACATGGGTAACTCAGAACGAGGAGTCTGTCAAGGGGTCAGATTGTATTGGACCTCGCGAGCAACATCCCGCGGTGTAACACAGGAAATCTCGACAGGGGTGAATGATTATTGGGCTTGAGGTGATCACATTTCAAAGCATCTTTTCATACTTACACAATTAGAAAATCCAATCCTCATCTTACATGGATTGCATTGTACAAAAGTAAAGTAAAGAAAAAGTGTATATATATGCGTATATATATATATATATATACATAGCTCAACACGGTTCGGTGATTGTTGAGACGAGTCTTGAGACAGAACTCAACTTCTTTATTTACAGCGGATTGTCTTGCCGCGAGAGATGCCAAGTGAGGAGGACGGTGAAACCAGGGGCATGTGGCCTTGGATTCAGCGAGACCCATCCAGCGCCCCCTGCAATCTGAGTCAAAATGACGCCGTCGCCTAGTGGGTCCGGCCATGGCACGGCCAGCAATCGAGAAAGCTCAGTCAGACTCTGGGCTGGCAAGGACACCTCCCTGTCTCTGATCGGACTCCCACTCTCCGTCCGTGAGATCGAAAAATCCGCACCCCAAGTGCGAGTTCCTGCAGAAAAGACTGCGTTTGCAACAAAATGGTTCTTCAGAATTGGGTTTCGGCCTGTGTCGGCGTTGGACGATGGAGCAACGGAAGGTCGCAGTCGGCTTTGAATCCCAGGTGGGTGGGATCGCAAGGCATTCAATGCAATCACAAAGCAGTTCCAAGCTGGTTGCAATTACATTCTCCACAAACGAGGTACCACGTTCTCTAGATGTAAATCTTTCCACATCTGACACGGCATTTTGCAGCGCGATGATCGCAGCCACAGCGTGAACTTCCAGTACCTCATTAAAAAGCTGAACCGAATCACAAATTTCTGCTGCATAACTCTCGTCGGTAGCGTCGTTAAATCTAACAACCCATCCCGGCGAGCGAAGAGTTCCAGTTTGTGAGCTTCTGTTCAGAGTCATCAATCACTCCATTTGTTTCCTTCGAAGTTCACCGTCGCAACTAACTGGCTGTCTGTGCACCGACATGTGCCGACCTCGCATTCTGCACTCCAGTTTTCGAATAGTGTTCTGTTGTTGCAACGACGATTCTCCGCCGGGCTGTGAATCCCAACCAGATCATTCTTGTCGATGTCGATCCTCGTGTCGAGACTTGTAAAAACGTGGGTTTTCATGCATTGTTGTTGCGTAATTTGTAAGGGATGTTCCCACATTAGGTGCTCCAGGCGTGTAATGTTCCCACATCTGATGAAAGCTAATGCTCATCATTCATGGCCACAATTATTGCACCGTGGCCCTTGTTTCGTTGCTCCTTTTGAAACTGTTGTTCACAGTTTTAACCTTAAACAGTTAGTTTGGTTATTTATGTATTTAAGGTTATAAAATGAAATAAATATAAAACATTTATAAAAATTAGAAATTCAATACCAGAGGTTGAACTTTTTGGTTGCTTAGCAGTCTGTCTTATTCCAGAAAGATTCATGATTTTTTTATCGGGCAAATATCACACATGCCACTGAACTTTCTCGAAATATCAAGAATACCCCTCAAGTTTTGATAATATCACACATGCCCCTGAACTTTGTAATAATTGCAAATTTGCCCTTTGGGCTGATGACCTATCTTTCCCTGTTTTTTTTAGTTTTAACTGGGGCCCAAAGCCTCTGATTATTCGCAGTGCCTGGGCCCCGCGCAAACCCCTGACCCCGCTCAGTTTCAGCAAGCAATGCTCTTTCAACTCCACCCACTGTTGCACCCTCTGCAGCACCCGCTGCAACACCCGATGCTGCCAACTCACCCGCTCCGACAGCCAATTCTACTGAACGAAGCGTTGCATCTGAGGCTCTCAATTAGACCACAAATTCGACTTGATGTCGTTCGTGCACTGGTATGTCGGTGAGGGGCATGGACGAGGGTGAATTCTCCTAGGCTCGTTAGGATTTGGCGGCGTTTAGAAGGATTTTGAGGATGTGGGTGCCGATTCAACCGAGGATGATGGAGAGGACGAAGGAGAGGAGTATTAGATTTCGATGACACTAAGCATACATAGCACTCGCAGTTTCGATCATGCAGCAAACCCTCACTTTGAAAGTACCGACTCATTCAACACAACACGCTGACACCTTCATGCAAATTTGTAGCAAGATTCGTGACACTGCTGTTTTGGGAAACCTGAGATGCTTTATGGGAACATTACACTTTCAACTTTGGTTTGATTGTTGTAATGGGATTGTGCTCATCGGCAGCGTGACACTGCTCCATAGTTGTGGAGATCACTTTTTATCAGGGAGATGAACACATTCTTATCTGATTAGATTTTTGTTTTGATAACTTGGTCTGGTCGATGTGATGGTGAATTGTCGACTATTCCTTCAGAAGAATGCCATTGCCTTGCACTGAAAAATATATTGCACAAAAATTCCTGTTGGCTTCCCTGCCAGAGACTGCCCTCTCCACAGTCCCCTCGTGGAATCGGAAAATGCCTTCATTTGTGCTGATATTGTTCCGTATCGAGTTGGAATTCCGAACAAAAATGCATCAGCTTCCAGTAACTGTGCAGCTGTGATGACGGGAATCAATTCATCCTTGGGTAGAGCAGTTACCTTTGTCAAAACATCAGCTGGTAGCGTGCTAAGCTGGAGTGGTACAAGCCCAGCCATCGCTCTACCTACTATGACTTCAAGCATAATCTAGTGAGTAAGTTTTGGTTATCAAATTTAATGTATATTATTGGAAACATTATATGTATTAAAATGATTAATTTAACACAATATATTGTGTATACAAGAGTGATACCAAGAGTTGTAACTCTTGGTGTAAGGTCAATACTTAATAGAGACTAATGTATTATATGGAATAATTCTTCCAATATTCCCACTATGACACTAATCTTCATTCTTAAATTAAATTTCATCTATAGTGGATGTTTATCTATTTATAGAATGAATATGTGTGAGAAATATATGATTTCAATTTCCTTTTTGGTGTTGATATTTTATTCCAAAGTTTGATGTGTCTTTTATATATCTCATAGTTCTTTTTAAAGTTTGAATGTGTGTAGATACTGGGTTAGAGAGATATTGTGCTAAATTGCTGATAGTATAAGTACAATTTGGTCTGGAATTAACAATGGCATACATTAAACTGCCACCAACTTGAGAATATGGATAATTTTGTGAAGTAATATGGTCTTCATTACTTAAACAAATTGGATTAGAATTCAACATATTGAATTCATTAAGTTTATTTGTTAAATATTCTCCTTAATCAAGCATCATCCATTAAGTACTTAGATGTTGATATTTGTAAAGAATTAAGTAATGGTCTAATCTTTGATACTATGCTTTAGATGATTGTTTAAGACTATATAGGATTTATTTAACTTACATATTTTCTTAGTATGTATAAGAGATAATCCTTTATGAATAGTCATATAGATGTCTTCTTTTATAAAACCATTTAAAAATAAAATGTTTTAACATCAAATTCAAGAGATACGACCTCTTCATCATTTAATAATGATAGTTGCGAAAAGGCTTCAATGACATCAATGTGAGAAGGGGGTTGTTCTTCCACATTTTAAGAAGTATTGTATATTTGTTATTAATAAAATATATGTATTTCTTGTGGTGGTAGTATTGAGAAAAATATACCTCATGTTCAAAGAATTTGTTAATTTAGTATATTCATAAGTCTATAGGCTTTAGATTCTTCACTATAGCCTAGAAAGATAGCCTCATGTGAATGAGTGTCTAATTTCTTTCTTGTTTCATTAGAAATGAATACATGAGCTTTGCAACCAAATATTTTAAGGTAGGATAAATTTGATTGTCTTTTGTACCATAATTCAAACGGTATCTTGGAATCTTATATAGATTTTGTAGGGATCTTATTTTGGAGGTAATTGGTTGTTTAGGTAATTAGGTAAATTTGAATAAGATAGCATTGTAAGAACTATTCCTATTAATGTTCTATTTTTCCTTTTAAAAACTTCATTTTGTTGTGGTGTATAAGCTATAGTATATTCTTATTTTATTCCTTCTTTGTTACATGAATCTTTAAATCTATTTTATTTATATTCACCTCTATAATTAGATCTTAAGGTTTTAATTTTGAAACTTCTTTATTTTTCTATAAATTTTTTGTATAAGGTGAATTTTTCAAATGCTTCAGATTTGTATTTCATCAAATATACATGGAAATGTCTTGTTAGATCATCAATAAATTTAATGAAGTAATTAAATTTTAAATATGTGCCTACATAAATAAGACCACAAGTGTCAAAATGTACAAGTTCTAATAATTGCATAGTTCTTTGTACACCTTGTGTAGGAAACTTTTCCTTATATTCTTTACCTTCTATACAAGGTTGATATAAGGTAATTTTCTTTTCATCAAGGTAGTCAATTCTTTTTGCTATTATTTATATTTGTATGAATCTTTGCAAATTTATGTATCTTAGTCTTAGGTGCTACAAATGAGCTTAATTGTTTAATTGTGTTGTTGCTAGAATAGTAATTTGATGCTTGGTTGAAAGAATTGTTGTACGTAATTCATATAAATCAGGATTTAATTTGCATATTGTAATAGTTTGATCAAATTCATTTATAAATATAGTTACACCAGCTCTTATGCAAATTCCTCCGCCTACCTTATCCAATTGTTTAGCAAAGAATAAATCCTTTATAAGTCTTGGTATATGTAGTACATAAGGTATGATCTTCTCGTTGCCATTTATAAGTTTCCTCCTTCTGTTA